TAAACGATTTCTAGAAGTGATACTCCCTCTGTGGACATTAAAAACATGGACATAAACTACAAAGCCAATATCCATGAATGTTCTCAGAGGATAACATATATGTCTCTCTGATAATATAAATAATATAAATAAAAATATAAATAATTTAATTAATAATAATTTATTATATTAGTATGTTTTCTCTTTTCATGCTATTATTTATTTATTTATTTATGTGTCTTCTTTTTCTTCTCTCAACATCATTTATTTATTTATTTATTTAGCTCGCTCTAAGTCAGTTTTTTAAAATACAAAACTAAATATTATAAAATTTGATTTCGGAAAAGTGCGGTAAAACAATCGAATAAATTCAAATCATTAGCATAACAAAAGGTTCATAGGTGATACATCAATCGTTTAATAATTAATTTAAAATAAAATATACCTCTATAATTTAAAATTCCGCGTGTAAATGTAGTATCTAAAATATTTCAGCAGAGAATTATCAATAATATCATGTTTAGCCTTGTCGACATATATAGCAAGCGCGCTATACATGTACGACTTTGTTATCGTTCGCACGGTGACACTCGAGCAATAAAGTAGTAGTGCGAAACGCTTCACATATTGTTGAACTTTTTTTTCTAAACACGATTACAATAGTATCGAAACATAATTTGATATAATTATTAATAATTGAAAATTAATTAACTTATGATAAACGACATGAAATTGTATATGGCAACGATAAATCTTTATCGCAATCATTAATTACCGCGAATAAAAATTGAAACAGGGGATACATAAAAAGGGATAAAAAATTAATTTTGTTATGATCTTTCGATTATTGATACTTATAATAATTTCTCCTACTTATTAGAATTAAATAAATTTTGACCAATGCTTTAAATTTTCTTAATCGGCAATTACTTATAGAATATTTAAATGATAAATTATAATAATAACGTAGTATAAGTTGACTTTGACGATATAAATAGTACCGCAGTAATGTTCTTGACTTACGATCATTCAGTGGCTCTTCAGCAGCGAAATATATATAGTGATGTGAGATGTTTCATATATTATCAAATTTTTTCTCTAAACACAATTGCAAATGCAACGAGAAACTTTTCGTGAATGAGTGTAAGTGCAACGAGGAATTCAAATGAGTGCAATGAGGATTAGAGTGCTACAAGGAAAGAGCGAAGAAAGCAAAAGAAAAAAGGAGGTTTTGGAAGTGGATGGATCAATAAGATATGATGTAAGTCATTAATATAAATTATTTATCACATTCATTATTTATTATTGTTGCGTCCCCGCGTCCCATCCCGCTGAATGTATTCGTCACCTGTTGAATTCTTTTGACAGGAAGTCTGTCGATGGAAGAAGATCATTTCCGCGCGCGTTGTAAACAATGTTGTTTAGCAACGACTGTCAGAGAGTCTGAACCCAGCTGTCAAGTTGTGCGAACGTTTATATGTGCGAATTAAAATTTATAAGGTATATTACAAAATTAATTATATATTATATTATATATAAAATTATATATAATATAATATAACCCTCCCATGGGGTACACCTTGTCGCGGTGGGAGGGCTTAGTACTTGGATGGTGCCTTGAGGTTTATCTTAAATTTTTCAATTTATGATAAATCTTAAGGTGCCTGAATGGGAAGCTAAGTACCCTTTCGCGTCGTCGGTGCCGTCAACGTGTCGCGGATGGCAAGCGCTTCGTCAACGCGTCGCGTTTTCGCGTTGTAATATTCTCGCGTCGTCGCGTTTTCGCGGAACTTTTGGACTTTTTCAAAAAATCTTTTTTATAAAATCCCAATTTCATTTATTGTCACGAGTCTCTACTTCCGATGCCAATTAACTGGGATGTACGAGTTTGCACACGTTGCTCGGCAACGTACACTCTTGCTTCGTGCTTCGTCAAGTGATTCGGCCCGAATCAGTTAGAACTCGATCGATTGCTCGGAATGGTCGTCAATGGGTCCCTTCTCTTTGCTCGTCTACTCTACAGCCACACGCACTGCGTGTGTTAACCCTGTCGAGGAGTCGAGTGGATTCCCCTAAGCACGCTTTTCGCTCGGTAAAAGGGGTTGCCTCCCCATTTTCTAAATTGCTGAATGTTAGCATTTAAAAAATGTGGGTATCCTCTTCTTTTGCCGTCTACCAGCCTGGTGTAGCCATATCCTGCATTGCGGGAAACTTCGTGTTCCGGGCGAAGCACCTGAAATCGTGCCTAGCGGGTCCAGGTTCGATATGAGATAGGATAATTATGCGCGAAAAAGAGTTGGTGAACTTCATTTCCTCTATTTTCGTCAATCGTTTCGTCTTCTTTCCGGTTTGGGCTTAATTCTTGCTCGTTGTATCGTTGCATTTCCGACTTGTTGGCTCGAAGTGGATTCTCATAAGTGAAATGGGATTTTCGCTCGAAACCGGGAGTGCCGTTAAAGGTGTATACAAATTAAGTATATACATCGCGCGATCAAATATAAAATTTTTAATCGAAATAGTGCGGGAGTGCCGTTCAGTATCGCGCGTAAAATAACGAAAATAGCGATATAAAAATATCGCTCGCGAGTGCGGGAGTTAAATGTTTTGCGCGCCAACAACATGAGAGGAGGAGGAGGCCTGGGAGAGGCATCTTGCATCGGCGGAACAACCTGATGGTGAATATCTATTAATTGTTATAAATAACTTATTATAAACGTTAACTTATTATAAACGAACAATAATTCGATCTTATTATTTAAATGAATTAAAAAGAAAGATTTTTATATAAAATTTTCTATTTAAAAAACAGTTTCAAAAATTTATAAAATTTTTCCATACCGTGTTTATCCGCTTATTATTTTACACATCGGATATAAAATTCCGCGCGATAAAAATTTTTTAAAATATTAATTGCATTTTGTGAGCATTATTATAAATGAATTTTATATTTGTATGTTACAGACAACTAGCTTCGATAACAACAACTCCGCTGTTGCGCATCAGTGCCGGTGAGTCAAAAAACTTTTATTTAACTATAAGGTAACGGATTCATAGAGATTGCAGATGTAGATGTAGATGTATATTGTAGATTGTAGATAAATCCGTTGCCTTAAAATGGATGAGCTAGGATGGATTAAATAAAATAAATTAAATTAAATAATTAAATTAAATTAATTAAATTAAATTAAATAATTTTAAATAAGTTCTTTCAAACTTATGCTTTGCAAAAATTACAATGCTATTGCGAAAATTTATTGAAATATTAATTTAAAAAAAGAAGAGATCAAGAAAAGATTTTTTTCTAAAGACTTTGTCTAATTTATTAAATAAAGGACACGCATTAATAATTATCAATTTTATCAACTTTTGATGCTAATTTATTCTTATAATACGCACTTATCTTCTAATTGCTCATAGCTCACCCATCGTAGAATTTGTTTGTAGATATTGTTTTTAAACTTTACTTTAACTTAATATAAAGCCAAATGATTAATTAATTAAATAATTTGTAATATGATAAATACACACATTAATTTTATATTTTATTAGAAAATATAATTTATAGAAATTTGTAGTAATTTGGCTTTATTTCAGTTAAAATAAAGTTATATTCAATATTTAATGAACGATCGTGAAATCGACCGATCGTTATTAAATATTTCACGCTCTTTTGCCGGTAATTATCTGGCAAAAGAAGGAGTAATTATCTCCTTCTTCGATCTCTGATTAGAGATCGAGAAAGAAAGTGGCCAGAATCAACGAAAAGTAGGTTCAACTGGCCTGAAGAGTACGTTTAGGGTATGCGGTTAGGGTACGCGGTTAGGGCACGTGATTAGGGCAAGTGACTAAAATATATACGTGATTAGGTGAGATAATGATTAGAGATAGGTTCCTCAAATGTCGAATAATTTTAGTTAATCAGGAAATAGGATTGTTAAGGTTATTAAGAAAAACCATTAGAATTCTTCCATTAATATTAGGGTTGTTAGGGTTGTTAGGGTTCTTAAGCTCATTAGAATTCTGTAATAGTAGGATTGTTAGAGCTATTAAAATTATTAGAATTCTTTAATAGTAAGGTTGTTGGAGCTATTAAGAAAGATTCATTCTTTCTTTTAATATTCAAATAATCCTAGGGGTAAATTAAAATTATTTTAATTAAGTTGAATTTATTTTTAAAGACGTTGTGAAAATAAATATAACATGTTTTAAAAATAAAAATGTTTTAAAAGTGAAATTTAAATTATCAAAATTATTTTCAGAAATATTAAAGAAATTGCACAATTATTAACGTTTAAGAAATCTTAACATGTTATATTTTATTTTAAAACTTAAAAAATATATGTGTATTAAATCAAATATTATATTAAATCCAAATGTTAATGCTATCAATATCAAATTATTATATCGATGTTATTAAATATTTAAATAAATGAAATATTATTATTTGATATTGATAGCATCATAAATTTGTAAATTATAAATTGTAATTTATAAATAGTTATAATTGTATTTTAATTATAATCTAACATTGATATTTTAATTGTAAAACATACAATACAATTATGACTATAATTATATTATATAAAATTGTATTTTCAACAGTTGTAAATTCTTATGCAAATTACACGAAAAATGATCAAAAGTATACGTATAATTATTACATAATAGTAATTAACATAATAGTAGTTCATTAAATTAAAGTATTTGTTTCTGCAAAATATATTTTTGAAATATTTATAAAAGAGTAGCTGTTTGTATTTTCATATCAAGAAGTTAAATAATTTATTTACTATCAATTTATATACATAAGTGTCTTGTTATACTCTGGTGCTGCCGGCATTTCGTGCACATAGCACGGAACGAAACCAGAAATTGTGCACATTATATATTACCCTCTGAGAACATTCATGGACTTTGGCTTTGTAGTTCATGTCCACGTTTTCAATGTCCATAGAGGGAGTATCGCTTTCAGGGATCACCTAAAAGCAGGCCATGACATCTCTCAGTCTTTTCTCTGATGGGAATCATCAGGGATCACTTAATTTAAAAGTAGACATGGCGTCTTTCATCTGTTCTCTGCTGCTATCTCTTCATAATAAAGGTGATTGAAGCTGACCACTTTAGAATTCAGACATTCAACTGTAATTTCGAGATTAGGAGTGTTTGACAAAACTTCGATTAACCCAACCGGCGATTAATTCGAAAAGTTGTCAACAAAAAGTCTCGAATTTTTTTAATTCGTTGTTCCTAACCTTTCTTTCCATGTATCGAACAATTAATAATTATATTTATATTAAGCAAACACTGTGTAATATTAAATATTACACCGACAAGTTAATTGCTGATTAAGTTAATCGGGATTCAATCGAAGCGGCTTTAAAAATGTCAGAAGACAAAGTTGGTTCATTGGAAGAGGAGGCATTGAGAAGAAAAGAACGGCTTCAGGCACTCAAAAGGAAAAATGAAGAAAGTAAGGAAAATAGGAACAACATGGATGAAGCATTGCCAAAGTAAATCTCTTGTTTCAATGAATGATTTTAATCTCTTTAAACTCATTGATCGCAAAACATAAAATGTTAGAAATCTCGTGTTTTCAGACCTAAATTCCGAAGTTACAAGCCACAAGATGAAAACTTGAAGAATAATATGTTAGAAGATGCGAAACCTGGAGATGTAGAATCCGTGGTTCGTGAACAGTTGGATGCTGCGAGCAGCAAAGTGGTCATCGAGGAACTAGTAAGTTGTAGAAATTTATTCTTATGTTTATCTCTTTCCTCATATCTTATATATTTATACAAAATTAATAATAACAAAGCTTAGTCTCAACAGTTTTTGTTGAGCAAAAATTTATCCCAATTAGAGAATCTATAATATATATCAATAAGTAAAAGATAGTTTGTCTGAACACACATTCTATATACATATTTTCTTGCTTGATTTTACATGACTATACTACTATGATTGTGACTACATTACTGTGTTTTCTGCACATAGAAATGCGTTTGTTTTTCCTTTTATTTATTTAGGATATCAGTAATTTAGCACCGAGAAAACCTGATTGGGATTTAAAACGAGATATAGCTAAAAAATTAGAAATATTAGAGAGGAGAACACAGAAAGCGATAGCGGAGGAAGTAAGGGCACGTCTTAAACAAGGCCAACAAGATTTAGCAGTTTATGTAAATGAGACTAATAAAGAATAGAAGTATTGTTATTAATAATATATATATATTTTGTAATAAATTATGTACTCTCTTTTTATATAGTATTAATAGTGATATTAATAGTAATATTAATAGTAATATTATTAATAATATTATATTAATATCTTATAATTTCTCATTACCTCTTATAATATGTTATTATGCTATATTGCACAAATCAGATGAAACTCTTGACAAATTAAATGTTTGTTTTCACATAGAAAATGATGCAGATCGAACTCTTATCAATTTAAATGCAATATTTTACATTGTACTTTTGTTATTGTACTTTTTTAATATTATATCTATTTTAACATTTGTCATCCGTGCACAAAAATTTAATCTACTCTACTTTGAAATACAATTTAAGTTGTCAATGTTATCATCTTGAATTAACACGTATACATACATATATATTTTGAATGAAAACATAAATACTTAATTTTATAGTGATTTTATGTTAGTGAGAATTATGAGAGAGTACCTCATCTCTGTGAACATTTGCTGAATATCTCAATTTTTAAGTAAAATATTACACAATGAAATTAATATCTGATTTTTTTTCTTTAATCAATTTTCATTTTACTAAAAATTAAGATAACAATTGAAAGACGTCATTGACTAGAGTATTTCACATCGAGGTTTTCATATGGCAAACAAAATGACTGCAAAAAGAACTGCTAGCGCAATGATGGAAAGTGGCATTTCGACATTGTGTTGTCCAGAATGTTCATCGAAACGATGATAAGTTTTGGGAGGAATGTTTCTCGGTATGTTCTGTTCTCTTGGAATATTGTGGAGAACTATTCGATCTTCTAAAGATTGCACTGGCCGGAAGTTGTGAGTCAGTTTGTCGCCTTCCGTACTTCGTAAATTACGGAAAGCAGCTATCTGAAATTAAGCGAGTAGCTTTTGAATTGATAAATTGAATTGCTTTTTGCACTTTAATCGTCAAACTTGACAAATAATAACGGTCGAAATTTTATGCAAAATACGATTCACATACCTGTTCATGCGACAAGCGCAGATGATCTTTAAAGTCAATCCATATAGCTACCTCGAGACAAGGTGGAGTTGTCAATGAGCCATTATATGTGAAATAGTCTTGCATAGTGGTAATATCTGATATGAACAATTTTCGCAACATCAAGGGCTCTCGCAATACTTTCTCACTACCTACCGTTTCTATATCAGGCAATACTTCTACGATAGGTTCGTACATTACGTTCGGATTAGGACTTACCTGGACATAATTTTATTGAAATAAAATATTACTTTAAGACCCAAAATTATCTATTTAAAAAATTACAATAATAAAAAAGATAAAATTAATTGCATGTAAGATATCGATTACAAAATATCAATGAAAAAATAATGATAATTTTTTAATTTTAATCTTCTCTCTCTCTCTCTCTCACCTCGTATAGGTATGCTAGAATAGCCAGACCATCGGAATGATTAAGAGCTTCATTCATCGACTTGTAATCTTCCTTGTAAAAAACAGCGTGCATTTCCATTGGGAATGAGTGATTATTGATTAAATCTTCAGATCCCTCGAAATCATTTTGTCCCCAATGGAAGTGTAATTGCTCAAACACATAGACCTTATTTCCCAAAGGCCCTCCGGATAACATGATTACTTTGGATTCATTAATTTTCAGCATAACTGAAAAGGAAGGGGGAGATAAGTTGTAGCATGCAATGACAATGATTAAAATTCATATTTCTAGATTATATCTATTTTTATATAACATGGACACCGCGTATTAAAATATCTTTCTTCATCTACCGGAGACCAATTACGTATTAACTCGATTGGACTCTTTATAGCGTATTTAATCGTCGAGATTTAACCGTCTTACTGCAAATTTTTTATTTCAGTCTCCTTTATTCAACATTCACGCGGTTTATTGCTTTTACAACAAGCTTTTATAAACACGGTCGCCTTTCTCGATTATACCGCGAAGAAACGCATTTTTTTCGATTCCGATTCTCGTGAACGCTATAATTTTCCCAGATAACGGAAGACCTAGGCGATATACGTGGATATAATAGTAAACAAGTGGGAAATGTTTTTAAGAGTGCACGGTCAGAAATGAGCGTGAAATCCTTACCTGTGTGACCATTGTTCGTCACGAACGATTGGTACGGATCGTCAATGCCGATCAACTTCAACGGCGGTAGGCTGACGTTCTTGACATTGTGCTCTTCTATGTTAATGGGCGACTGGTGTTTCCCGATGCATGTGTGATACTCCTCGCCCCAATGTGATGGACCTGCGAGAATAAAATTAGTTTCGTTTCGGAGTAACATGCCACCTCCAGCAGCAAATTTCTAATCAAACTCACCGTGATTTCCGTCATAACCGAAATCATCGCCTAGACAGAACCCTGAAAAGAAAAATTTTTAATAGAATAATTACTCATGTTAGAAATTTAATAGAAGAGAAAGTAGTATACTATAATAAATAATGAGTGATGTTAATAGAACGAAGATTCATTTTAATGCGGAGTGATATGTGAAGAAAAAACAAAATGAAAATACGAATTTATATTTCAAGATTGTTGAGAATCTATTTTGTCTTGATTTATATATAATTTAATGTAAATTAATTTTTTAAAATAATTTTAATAAATAATAATAAATAAATAATTTTACTTAAAATTGACATTAATAAACAAAAAAGATTTTCTTAAAACTGACATTAATGAAAAAAAAGATATTTTCTTATTAAACTTTTATCGAAGCTCAAAGAAATGGTACAATATTTATAGTTTGGAGCAAAAATCAACATCTCTTGCTCTTGCATTTCCAAATAATTGATACGTTTTTTTAACGAACTGACCGTTAAATGCGCAAAAAAATTTTCGCGGAAGCTGAAAATGTATTTGAAGTTTTCTGGTCGTGGAAGACAATTAATTGTTTCCGCGCATTTATTATGCGCTTCTTGATTAATCGCTAACGAATGTACGCGTGATATCTTCCTGTCGGTTTGTTACTTTCGCCTTGCTGTGCCTTGTTTAAGGTTCTCCGCATCTGCTCGACACATGCGACAAGTATAACGATTTACTCGAGAATATTACTTTCGTTTTGGTCGGAAATGGCCGCGCAAAGAAACCATTAACGTGACATCTTGGCTGGAAATCCTTGGCTGATTTAAAGCGATTATCTTGAGGATGACGAGCCATCCTCGGCGTCCTTCCATTATGCAAAATCTTTATTGTTGCACGATTACGTGAGATGCGTGCAAGAAGCATCGAAGCTCACGATATCTAATGATAAGATGAAATTTTGACTTTATTATTTATTATTATCTCATTATTATTCCACGAAGACGTCTAACAATTATTACCAGGGACAAATCGAGATCGAGGAATCTACCTTAAAAATATCATCTGCATTAAAGCCAAATTGATGTAGGAAGAAAAAGAAATAAAAAGCTGTGGCTCTTATCCCAATTTTGATTTAATTTTTATTTGTTTTTTTGAGCCAAATTTCTAATTATTAAGAAATAAAAAGATTAATTCACATTCACTGCACATGTAATCAGTTAATCTGTATAAAAAAAGATGGGTAGACTCGTTGTAATAATAAACAGACATATTTATTTTTGAAGAAGATGGATATTTGCGGAGATGCATTATATGATAATTTTGTACGATAAAATGACATAAATCGATATTCATATGAATTGTTCAACTAACGTTTGCGACATTATGTATGAAAACTGCGCATTATATCGTTCGATTATTTATTCATCAAAGAAACTCTTTAAAATTAAATGTTGAAACGGCTTGACGTAACGTTCAATTAATATCGTATAACTACACCCCTTAATCAAATTTTCGTAACGTGCGGAAGATTCCAGTTGTTGATACAAGGAATTCTTTCACTAATTTGGTTCCACTTGTTAATCCATCAAATTTTATCTGTCTTGTGAAAACATTCGTATATCGCCGCGAATTTACATTTTTATAATTCAAACAGTCTTTAACGGTCACGGTATGATTCCGGTCTCGTGCTCGCTTTATGACATAAGACAATAATCGCCAGAAATTACTTGATTTTCAAGTTCTAAATGCTTTTCTCCCTCTATTAATTACTTGTGAAGATTACACATTATTTTAACAGAAGATAGAAATAACATATATAAACTAAAATAAAACTTTACAAAGGTAAAAAAATAGGCCAAATACATAAAAGTATTTTACCTTGTATGTAAAATGTTTAATAAAAAAGGTCTTAAAATAATTTACATTTTTCCTCAAAAAAATCATTTTTATAAAAAAATAAAACCTCAAAAAATAATTTTTCTAAAAAAAACACTAAAAAATATTTTAATATAGAAATAACATACATATATATGTACTTTATGTATATATATATATATATATATATATATATATATATACATAAAGTTGATATAAAACGATAATATCTATAATTCAATTATATCGCGATTTTTATCGAGATATATCATCACTTTTATCAGTCGATTTATTAAAAGAAAATATGAGACGTCAAATTAGCCGAAGAGATCAACCAACATCAATTTTACGATGTGTTTTATGGATCATGGAAAATATATTCGTTTTAAATCTTCTTTCTGCTTATCCTGCTTCGAATAATAGCGTTAATATTATCTTTTAAGATATATATAATTATATTGTAGTTGTATAAGAGATCTCTTAAAACTGGATAAAGTATAATAAAATTACAAGTACTTGGATTTATATTCGTGATTTAATTCAATGATTTGTCTGATATATATGCCTTTCGTAAAAAGGATTTATCACGTTTTATCGTGTGGTTATACGATTATCGTTATCGTCATATTTTATTTTTATACTATTTTTAAGATAAGATTAAGATTATTGTTATATTTCTTGGTTTTTAATTTGTGATAAGCTTTATGTAAAAAAGTAAAATTAATAATATTATTTAAAAAAAAAAGATCTTAAATCAAATATGAGCATCGCGATTCGCGCTTTGCTGCTGAAGCGCATTAAGATTTAGTGGTCCGAGGGTTGACAGCAAATCGAGAATCATCACTGGCATCTCAATCGTGATTCTCATAGGATATTCTGCAGTGATCCGCAGCGACGATTTCAATGCATATCAATGCAAGTTGAATGCACATTAATGCAATGGTTAAGGACTTAACACATACCTAGTATTCGCTGCACATATAAATAATTGCAGTTTTGATTCAACTATCTGGTATACCCAGATTTTATTAAATGTAGTAGATAATCAATTTTGTTTTTTTTTTATGTAAACTAATTATTAGCCTATTGCTCTCGAAATCTATTCTTAATGCTAAATAAAAATGCATTGGCAGCATAATGACGACGATAATTTGTACGCTACGTAATCGAGATACTTCTTCGATCACGTGATAAATTAGTAATTCATGTGATAAATTTTTATAGAATATCACCAATATGTGCTGCGAATAATCTTATCATCATTGATATTTTCTTCATCATTCGCGTGATTATTGCCAAAGCCATTGCATGAATATTCCATATATTCTTGTTTTGCTACACAACTGCGCACAAATTCGCAGCTTTCATCTCTAATCATAATTTAAAATATAAAAAATGATGCATATATAAAAATAAACGCATATATAAAAATTTTTATTCTTTTATACTGTTTAATAAAAAAGTGTTTGATATTGTCTAAATTAACGTAATTTCTATATTGATGACATATTAAAGATACTTAGAAATATTGATTATTCTATGTAATTATTAAAAAATTAAATAATTAAAATCTTAGACATCATCTCATAATTTATTGTAGAGTAAAAAAGTAAATAATATTCTTTTTTTCGTGTATGATAATGTGAAATGAAGAATGCGATAAGGATAACAGAATTTCAATATATTGTTTATGTTCAATATATTGTTTATTGTAATTTGCCTTATCATCGTTACTAAAACTAACGTAACTAAAATATTCACGTATGAATATTTAAATATTTTCCTGTTTTGTGTTTTGAATATTTTGTTCTTGTTACACACGAATATTTGAACATTTTGTTCTTGTTACACAAATGCATACAAATTTATAATTCATCTATTATAACATTATTAATCAAATGCACAGAAATATAATTCTCTATACTAAAGAAAATGTTTGTGTGTTTAATTAATTAATAAATAATATACATAGCGCGCATCGGTTTTGAGATACTAATTATTATGTGTAATTATTAAGAAACTATAGAAATTTTTAATTATCATAATTTATTCCTAAATTTAATAAATACTTGAAAAAAATTAGTATGCAAAATTTCTCTTTACACAATTTTTATAATAAATATTCAAGATGATTAAGAACACGATAGAGAATTTGAAGAAACAGCCTCGAGGGGATGTTAGTTTTTTTTTGTAGAAAAATTATTTGTATAATTATTGTATAAAAAAACGTGATCGTTGAATATTCAAGCGAAGAAACGTACCCAGAAGGAGAAGAAGGCCAAAAGTAGCGATCGAAAACACCATGATCATTCACCCCGTCGGCGTATAACACCGTGAAATCCCACAGCCGGATTCGCCGATTCGTCGAGGAATCAGCGAAGGAAAATGCGAATGCTTTGTTACGGTCGGTGGAGGACTGAGGTGCCGCCGGCTCGGTCGACCATGTTAAATAAGAGCCCGCTGCTTCTATTTTGCGGCGTGCGTGCGATGGACTCTCCTACGGCCGCGTCGACAGCAGGGTGGGAAGAACAATTTGTTGATTTCGCGACAACGTCGCAGAATTAACATGTCAAGTAATAATTCAAGGTACGATTCTTGATCGACAGAGAAAATAGACGAATTACGATGTGACAAAAACTGGCTCCTTGAAAGAAGAATTGACACATTAGAGACTAATTGCCTTAAAATTAGTCTGGATTTATTTCAAACTAGTTTTAAGACAATCAGTCTCTAATGTGTCAATTCTTCCAAGGAGCCAGTTTTTGTATATATACTCCTGGACAAAATTAACGCATAATTTTTTTTTCACTTTTTCTTTAAAAGCTGATATTTAAATTTTAACGAAAAATTTTAAAGAAAAAGTGAAAAACAAATTATGCAGTATTTTTGTCCAGGAGTATATATGTTGATAATAATATGAATTATTCTACATCTTTTCTAATAAAAAAAGGAAAGAACGAAATAAATCATTTTAATTCTGTATGTGAAATATATTTTTGTATAATAACCATACATATAATTTTCCATATCAGATACATAATTTATTGTATTTATAAATATATATATATATATATTTCACAATTATAATAATTTATAATTATGGCGTTTTCGAAAATGTTCAATGTTCGTGGATTTTTCTACCTTTATTAGAAACTATATGACGTGTCAAATCACTGAAGTGGGCAGAGAAGGATAAGATTGGCAGGTACTAGAGTTCAAGACTTATAATTTGACAATCAGCTATATAAATTCTTCATATGTACACGATACTTATGCAATACGATTACTTTACGATATGACATTTTGTAGACTTATGTTTTATAAGCGCATGCTTTTATCTTGTGTGTGATATTTTACAGTTTGTTTGACCGATACAAGCGGAAGTTTCTTGAATATATCCGGCGATATATGATGAATAATTTACGGTACTCTCCCGTCTATACTGCCGCTTTTTGATATTCCCAACATCCGTCTTGCGAAATTGTTCTCTGCGGTTTTCTCCAACAACTGTAATCCGCAATAGATTTGTTATACAATTCATGATCTCATTTTTCAAATTGGTTATTAAGAAATTAATAACATCCTGTTTTTATCATCAATATAAAAGAGACATTTTTCAAATTTTATTAATGGTAGACTGATCGTTAGATCACTGCAGTCGTTGTATGACTTGTGTCTAGTATCTCGAATTTTTTAATCTTTAATCTTCTGATATTTTCCAGCTTTAAAGAATAAAAATATGTATTAATTAAAAATTCGAAACATGCAACACAATGATGTGCAAGATAACATGTAGATTTGAAAAAAAGATTGTCCAAATAAAATTTAAGCGATTAATGATACTACTTCTGTAATCACAGTTCATTATTTTTTCGAGGAAAAACGTCGAAATATCGAACAAAGGTCGACTCAATAGTATAAACAGAAATTTCATCGAAATTGGCAACCAACTTGGAAGTGTTCCATAAATAAACATAACAGACATTCTAATAGAAATGTCTAAGATAATATGTGAAGAATAAAAGTAAGGAGAATATGTATTTGGTAGTGAGCTCGACATTTTTGTAGCAAAATAAAAATGGAATTGGTTGCAAGAATATTTATGAATATTTAAGAATATTTATGACAGAGAGAATATATATGCATACATTTTTGCACTCTTAGCTAACGATATATTATGATAGAATAATCGATCGTTAAAGCACAAATCAAGAAATAAATTGAATATTTCATTTTGATTAATTTAACGTCCCAGCATTATATCTTTAATGATGACTGATAGATAATTAAAACTGGCGTGCGTGCGATGTAAAGCATTATGCTTGTTGATATGGGAACTTTAATAATCGCTAACGTCGAAACGCGAAATATTGTTGCACTTGATAGAATTCTGGAAAATTAACGTAATTGGTTACGCTTAACAATGCAATGATGGAGGCGTAATAATGTTACTGCTCGACTATTGTGCATCGATTGCACAACGGCAGAAATTGAGATAACAATCGGGCTAACATGCGTGATATATAGCTTACAATTCGTGATTGTCAATGTATCGTCGGTCATTTATACAATATGTAATCTGTTATTAGTGGTATAAGCGGCATGTGATAAAGATAATAATTATATGATATGATATTCATATGCACATTTTGTATGATTTTTAATATTACTATACAGTCAGAGAAAAAAAGAAAACTTAACATTTGACAAATAGACATGATCTCTTTCGCTATTCGCTATTAAATTATTTCTTATCATAATAGATTACATAGAATATAAAAAATTCATCCTTCTATAAAAAAGCTTACTTCGATTAATTTACATGATAAATGGCTAAAATTTATCAACATTATGTGATAGACAATATTTTTTATTACAAAATGCATAATGTGAAAACAATGGCGGAAACTCATCAATCCATGCATTTTAATAAACTGTTAACCTAATAATTGAAATATCATTCGTTTAGAATTTTAATGAACAATGACTTTCTTCAATGGGGCACAATTATTAAAAATTATGAAAATTAAAGGCGCGATTTTAATAATTCAATTTATAAGAATGTTATAAAAATTTATAATTGCAAAAGAAGATCATCTTAAGTCTTAAATTCTTTCAATTCATATTTTTCAATTCACTATAGATTTATGTATTTAGCGAATCGATAAATCAAAACAAATTAAAAATGTTTGATAGATTGTGCTCCTCGATACTCCTTAATTTACAACTTTTTTGTAATGTGTTAGGTCCAGTATTCATGAAAGCCTTATTAATTATATTTCTGCTTCGAGATTGAAAGTTTTCATATGAATATATACTTTAATTAGCATTACAAATTATCGTTTCAAACCATTTAATTTACTAATCAAGACAAGTAACAAAGATTCCTTTATACCGATCGATCAATCGAGTTTCAAAGAAATTGCAAATGAAGATTATCTCATATTTAATTTCGCATAAAATTTTTGAAAGTCATTTCTAGCAATCGCACTGCACAAAGGACGTTAAAACAACCATTTTTAATTTAAAATTTCGCAAAATCGCGACATTTGATGAAGCATTTTAAAAATCAAAATTGTATTCGACATAAGAAACTTCTGAAGAAGGTACGACTCGCGCTTTTCCTTCTTTTTTGATCGAATCGCAAGTCACACTGTCGATGTGCTTCCAGTCGACTCCGCTAGATGTCGCGCGCGTCGCGGCGCTACAGTCACTACGGCAATCGAGAAATCCCTAGCGGCTCGTGGACTGGCGGCGGGCGCGACGACCAATGGGAAGGCGCGCCGAGGCGCACGCGCGCACTGTCGCTAGCACGCGGCGCCCAGTGTCCAGCGCCCAGCGCTACCCTACGCATCGAACGCGAGCGTGTGTCGCGAGCGCATTCTCCGCGCCGCGGCTAATACGTATGTACGCATTCCCGTTGTCGCCGTCGCCCGCCGTGAACATCGGCGTTGCCTCGGTACGTCGCTTCTGGAGCGTAGCAACGGCCCGGTCGCGCCGCGCGAGGGCCGCGCGTTGTCACCGCTGTCTCTGCGAAATTTGCGTGCGCGTGACGAGGCAGCAACAGCTCGCCGTCGCGGCCAGTGACAACGTTTATTTTCGATAGGAAGGAGAGAGAGAGAGAGAGAGAGAGAGAGAGAGAGAGAGAGAGAGAGAGAGAGAGAGAGAGAAAGCTCTATCCCGAGGATATCTCTGCCGCGGGGAGTGATCCGAGGACGGCCACAGGCAGCACAGGCAGGTAAAAGACGCGAGAGCGAGTGAAAGGATAGGAAAGTCACTAAAATCGCTGGAGATGCGCGGCCTTTTTTTCCCGGGTTGCGCGATTATGTATCTGACCGCGCCATAATTGCACGGTCGTTTTAACGGGTGAGAGAGAGAGAGAGAGAGAGTGAGAGAGAGATGCGTGCGAATAGGAAAGACGGAGAGAGAGAGAGAACGACAAAGATGGAGCGATGGCAAGTGCCGTGGTGGAAGAGAGATGGCGAGAGAGGGAGCGAGGAAGAGAGAGAGAGGGTCGATAGTGAAACGAAGCGAGAACGAACGCGGTAGCGTGGAGAGGCGGAGAGGCCTCTCCGTCAAAATGTCGTTGAAAACGCCAACGCGGATACAGTGATCGTTGGCGCTCGCCTAACTCGGGGCACGTCGTCTCCCTTCGAGCCCTCGAGCCTCCGCTCTCTCTCTCTCATCCCTTCTATATATATATATATATATATATATATATATATATATATATATATATATATATATATATCTTTCTCTTTCTCCGATCTCGCTCTCGACGACCAGATTATACCAGTTGTAGCGGGGAAAGACAGAAGATCGCGGGTGCATCGATTACTCGCGCTCGGTCACCGAGTTTGTTTCCCCCGTCTCGTTGGCGTCTCTCTTCGAAGGCGATCCCGGTTCGGTCTTGGATCCCCCCCCGGGTGAACTCTCCGCTCGTTCTCCGCGAGAGACATTTCGGGGAAATCGCTCTCTCGGCGCGGATATATTCCAGGTATACCGAACGAATCTCCTGGAAGCGATCTCCTAAAAACGACCTGACGCGACGCGACGCGATTCCTTTTGCATTCGCATTCGGTGAAATCGATTCCGTCGCGTTCGATTCCTTCTTGGGCTCCGACCTTTTGTTCGTCATTTAATGCCGCGACTCGGTCTCCCTCTCTCTCGCCCCTTCATGCCACATCGTTCCCTCTCTTTCGACTCTTCGCGACGCCGCGCAAACCTCTTTTCGCGACCGTTAATGTCGCCTCGCATCGATACACACATATATTTACATGCAATGTATACATCTTTATGCGTACACAATATACGTGCAAATGTAAAATAATGGTCTATTATTATTAATAATTAATTCGAAACAAGCGATCCATTGATCCTCTCGTCATCTGATCGGAGCTCCTCGCAAAGTTGACGAAACGCGTAGCTAGAAGGAATCATCGTCACCCTCTCGGTGAAACTCAACTTTTTAGCCAATCTGTCGTCCTGGTCTACGCGTCCAAGTGGCGGCAACAAAAAAATTGACGGGAGATGAGAGCTTGGCTAAGCGTGGTTGGAGGGAGCTTGATGCGATCCAGAACTCGAGAAATGTCGATCCGAGCGCGCTGACTAGTGTTAGTGAGCATCCAGTGAACACGGAGCAGCCTCGTCTTACAAAGTGCCGGTTTTTCCCCCCGAATTTAAAGGGAGGGAGACAGAGAGAGAGGAAGAGAGAGAGAATATTCCATCTAGATATTCCAAGCGTCCGATTTCGAAGGAGTCGATTTTTCCGTTTTTCGTTTGACATGACCCAATAAAACCTTCGAAAGGCTTCGTCAAGATCGAGGTGTAATGTTCGCGATGTGTGCAGGTGATTGATTCGTGCGTCTGCTACCTCGAGGTAACTCCTCCATCGGATTGTGAATAATTTGCAATGAAAAGGAGAGGAGCATTATCTCGTAACAAAGCGCGATCGCCCCGCTCATGAATAAGAATCCTGGTCTAATAAACAATCTATTCGAATTTTCGGATATCAGTGTTTTTTTCGCACGATCTGCCTATTGTTGTCGCGTCATCGGGCGACAACTCATGTCCATGTTCCCTTCTCGAGTGCTTACTCGATGCATTCGTGTCGCGGTTTTCGAGTCCTCGATAAACCTTGTTTCGGAACGAGTTTAGTGACACTTGGCTAGATCTTGGTTAATTGCTATTTAAACTGGTTCTCTGCAGGAAGCAAGCAACAGCTTGGAAAAATTTGTCGCTTTGTTATTAAAAATATTATTGCGTTAAAAAAAAACAATCTTACAGTATAATATTTACTTTTGGAGTTGATAGTAACACATTTACAAGCTTTTACAAATTTTTTTACCAAACAAAAGTTATTTTTCAAGCATTCCTGCCATATTTTTTGTAGCAGAGAATTAGTTTTGATAAAAAAATAATTATCATAAATATTTAATTTTTTAGGATAAAGATATAGGCATATTTATTATATTAATTTTGTTTAGCACGATATATGTTTATATTACATCTTGGTTCCTATACTTACCAAAAAAATGTATATTTTTGTTTCTACAATGGATTGTGTTAAATTAATTGCTACATTTAAATAAGTCATTGAAAAAGTTATTTTATTTCAGGCTCTTGTGAATAGAATCGTACATTGATAAGCAAGAAAATGGTTTCGACTCGTCAATCAAGCAACATGGGAAACAGCAGTAGTAGTGGATCAGTTGGTGAAGTTGGAGAAGTGAGTCCGTTGAAAAAGCATCATTCAGTAACGGCTGGTACATCTAACAGCGGACCCACTATTGAATCACGCAATCTGAATCTTTTGGATTTACCTGTTGAAGTACTTGAGAAGATTTTTAGCTATTTAGGCTTCAATATGGTAGCACATATGCGTCTAGTAAGTACTAGATTTAAATACCAATGTAAACATGCAATTTTGTATTTCTCACAATCAATTTACTATAGCAAGCATATTGTTTGCGATAGGTTTGCCATCAACTGGACCGCATTTGTGGGTCAATCCTCAACTCTACGTTTCAAAAGCTGCAGGCTCAGATGTTGAGCCGCTTTCAAGCTATCAAGGCGCAAATGCCCAGGCGCGAATCCGCGCGTCGAAATCACCCTCTAGCGTGCGAGTCGGATATCATAGAAACTCTGCATATGCGGCTTACCTTACTGCAAATGAGTTTCGGCAAGCACATTGAACGGAAGCATTGTTGCTTTTTTCCTGGCGAAGTAAGTACCAGAGTTCGGAAAGTAAGGATTGTTGGTATCGCTGGATTCGAATATAGTAAGATTGATTCTGCATATATAGTCAAACTTTTTTACATCTTCCTCTTTATACGTTTCTCTACATTTTCCACTTTTTTCTTTTTTGCGTTGCATGTGTAATCAATTTAAAATTACAAAAATAAGCAAAAGATATCATGCATGTTTCTAATTTTGCTTAATTGATCGATTCTACTGAGTGTTCTATATAATATGTAGATTGATCCAGTAACTAAACAAGTGTATTATTTCTACAACAGTTGAATTCTTGGCGCACAGAAATCAATTTTTTATATCTGTTTGATATTATCAGATAAAGTCATGAATTTCTTTCATCTTTTATTTACTTTTTTAGTTTAACATTTTCTAAAGAAATTTCAAAAGTAATAAAAAAACATAGAAGAATTATCCTGATAAAATAAACTAAAATGCTAATAAATATTATATTAATAACAGTAAATGTATGCTAAAATTTCGTAGCAATAACTTTTTGGAATAATTTTTTTCTTTATGATCTTAATGGTCCTTTTCAAATATCTCTTGTCTTTACAAGTATGTTTAATTTGAAAAGAAATAGGACAAACATTTTCTTGAACGTGTTTTGCAGATTCTGGACGAGGTTTATCGCATTCTTTATTACATAAAAGTTACTCCAAAATTGCAAAGACCCTATAAGGTTACAGATGAACTGTTTGATTTGAGTACTATGGCTATGGAATATTTCAAGGAACATATTGAACCAACATTACCAGAAATACCTTACTTTGGTGCCGACTTTCTGGATCTTGCAGGGACGTTTTCTTGTAAGTAAAATTGATGATTAAATTTACACTTTCGAATTATAATCTAACTCATGGAGAGCAACTATTGTTGCAGCTAGTAGTGTGAGTAAACCATTTATGTGCCTGGATTCCGCACCTTTAACCGTCGGAAATGGAAAAACGGGCAATACTGGCGAAGAAGAAGGTTCTTCGTCGCATTGCTCAGACGACCCTGCTCTCTTGGAATCCAGTGTGTCGCCGCCACAATCGAATATGGTTTTGCGAAAACGAATTCGCAAGATTAAACAAGGCATGAGAAGATATAATAGCCAGTTGACACTGATGCGCAGGGATTTAAAGAGTTGCAAAGCAAAAATTGCGGAACAACAGAAACAGATTGTAGAATATGCCACTCGATTGGACGATAATGACAAGAAGAATGAGGAGACGTCGCGAAAATTTAGCACGCTCCTACAGGTATTTACCCAGGTACATTCGAGAAGTTTGGAACAAAGATGTATCAATCTTATTTTATAACACTTTACAAATTAAACCTTAATTTATAAAACTTTACAAATTGATATTTAAAGTGAATCTATATATATAAATTGTGAAAACATGTTACAAACCTTATGTCTTGATCTATTTTTACTCTGAACTTCTCATTTGGTGCAAAAATATGATATAAAAATTATTTGCATATCTGTAACTTACGAATATATTTTTTTTTTCTAGGAATTGAACAAGTGCAAAACTGAGTTACAGTATTGGCGATCCAAATCACCAGCAATACCAGTGTGTGTAGGTTGCGGTCAGTCAATGCCAGTCCCTACAGAGGATTTACAAGCTTTAGCCAATCAAGGAGTGCTACCAGATGCATTTGGTGAAGGGCACGACTTTATTCCCATCGCGGATGCCCACAGTCCTACTGAAGTGGTACAGCAATCCGTAGTTACGCAACCTCCTTCGTCGACGCCAACGGAGGAGATGGCACCCCCAAAGGCTCCTGTGCCTTCGATATCCTTTAAACGGAAATCCACCACAGAGGAAACGTCGACCGATTCCGCGAAAAAATCACGTCGCACTGCCAAGTCTCGTCAGGCTAAGCGCTCAAAAATATAAAATCGATAACACTGATCATGGTACAAATATCTGTTCAACCAATCTCCAATGAATTTCCGGAGAGATGGGGAACTTTCTACGATAGTTTACGCGCGTTTCTTTATGTCAGCAAGCCAATGATCTTAGAAGAGTACAAAATTTCCTCACCGAACGTCCTGCATATTGCGCAACGAACCTCGTTTAAAAAAAAATTAATCGTGTCAGTATAATGATCATCAAATTTTTTTCTCATAGACAGAGATGTTACCGCCGATGCATGGCGTGCATTTTATAAATATTCTAAAGAAGCCTAGTCGGATCATTTGCTTTGCTCATAAAGCAACGTCTTAACTATATTTTCCCGAATTCCTTTAAAATTCTTTGTAATTATTTCGCAATTATTACCGTCATTGCTGCGATAGACTCAAGGATAATAGAAAGTTAAAATCGCGTTTTATCTTTGTCATGCATTTAACAGCGATATCACGTGATAGAACACAATAATGTAATCGTGGCGATGAAAAAATTCGCCTTCCATTTTGCTCTTTTATCAAAAGTGCAGTGGCTCCTATCATGTTTTTGGTGCATATATAATATAAATCATTTTATTATAAATCATAAAGATTAGAGACAAGAGCATATAAGTTCAAATCCGAAAAATGTCGCCATTTGGCACAGATCCGCGGAATATTATTGACAGCTTTGATTACAGATCGTTTTTATGAGAAAATAAATTATGGAGAATATTATGTCGTAATTATGGATAATACTATGTATTGCATAAAAGACTACATAACTTGCATCTATATATTTAGTGCAGATGCACTTGTGAATAGTAGTAACAATTGATGGCAATTCTTTAACTTATCTTTTCCGTGTGAATTAATACTCTTGTCTCTTTTCATGGCTACAACGTAAATTGAATCGTCTTTATCTTTTTTTGATCAAATTAGGACAATATGAGAACAAAAAAGATTTATATATATATAAACATAACAGTTTATATATATATCAATTTTATGAAAGCTTGTTTTTGTATAAAATGAATTAGTGCAAATAAGCAATTTTCTTAGGAAATCAGAAATTTCGTTTCTTAACGCATTTTATTCTATACAATATAATATATAATTTGGTAGTAACACATAAAAATGAAAATTAAACTTCTAGAAAATTTTATTTCACGGTAAATTAGACGATTGATTAGAAAGTATGTGAAAGAACTGATCCATTAAAGCTAATTTGCGCAAGCATTGCAAATAATGCACCAATCATATCAATTCGTTTTAATTATTTAAGCTTGCTCAATTTAGAAAATTTGTTTATAATCATATATGATTAGATGCCATTAAATGTCTTATTGTCCAATTTTTTTTATAATTTGTGTTCATTTAGATTTTGAATTAATTTAAATAGCTGGATAAAATCAAAATGTTTTATGATAAAAGTTTCGTGATGTTCTCAATTTTGTGGCGTGAAATAACCAGAAAATATCTGGCACAAATTCAAGCAACAAAAGAGCAAAATGTTAATACTTGGAAAGGTGTTAGTTTATTTTTACGAATTACACCATCTCTTTTATTAAGAATTATGCAAGAGATGGTGTACGTGCGGATTGCAATATTAATAGAACTAGATAATAATTTATAGGAATGATTCGTAGAATCGTCGAAAAAAGATTGGGTATCATGCCATTTTTGTTGCATGAAAGAAATCTTGTTATCAATAAATTCAACGGAAATTTCTCTTTATGAATAAATGTTTTGATGAAAATTTTAATGGGCGTTCAGAGTCATAAATTATAACAATCGAGGATATTTACAACTGGATTTTTTTCAGAAATTTAATGGTTCATCTTGCGCGATTATTGATATGATAGAAGCAATTAATGTTCTCATTTGCACTGATTACCCAATTAATCTCGAAGCAGCGTAGTTAGATATTGTGAGTTATTCATGATTCTACTTATTAAAAAAATACGGAATGCGGATAAATATGTGAATGATACTTTATTATAAATATATTTATATATCTATATATATATATATATATATATATATATATATATATATATATATGTATGTATACATATATACATGTTTACATGTGTATATGTATATATATTTGAGTGGAATTTGTGTGTGCCGGAGAGAGAGAGGAAAGGTGTGCAGACCACACAAACACACTTTAGTTTAATGGAACAATAAGATATAATGATTAATTAATTAATTAAAAAATTAATTAATTAATGATAAAATAATTATTAAAATATATATGAAAAAATATATATAAATATATATATATAATTTTTTATTGATGTCAAAAGAAATTAGAGAGAAAAAACAGAGATAACACTTAGGATGCGAGTATAACGGAAGAGTACACGCGCATATGTGTGAGATGAATGTGTGGAATATACACACAATATACATACATTATATATATATATATAAAATAACTAAATTCAAACTCTACGAGAATTTATGATGTGATGCTTTATCGCGCGCGCACGCGCGCGTCGATTTATAACCGCGGAAAAGTGACCTTTATCCGAGATAAAAAAAAAACACGTGAGGCATTCTGGCTGCGAACGAACATATAAACTTCACTTATTAATGTTACGTTGAATAGCGCATTACGGGGGCGGGCATAGCCAAATCGCACGTGTCGGAAATTTCGAAATGCTTGTACGTTCACTTTGTAAAATGTGAAATATTTCTCGGATATCCAGAGAGAATTCTCGGGGAAAAAGTACGAAACTCGCATCGATTCTGTTGCATTATTTGGGCCCCTAAGAACGAGCACATATAAATTCTGAATCGACATCAGCGGCCAAATTGTATCAACGTCAAATCAATGCTAACTCTGATCAAAATATCAAAGATTTTATATCTGACAATTAATCAATAGATTTTTCCTTTTATCATACTAATACGATATAAAATATCTTTATTATAATTTGTGAGATACTCTATATAAAGAGGAACAGTGGGAAAAAATTCATATATAAATATATAAATATTTATATTTCTTTTAATTATAATATATTAGATATTATATATATTTATATATATGGACTTTTTTCCTTTAAAGTAACTCTAACCGAAAATAAATTAATCTATATTCTCGGTATAGCTTAGCATAAAAAAAATCAGGTCTTATATTCTATTAATTATATTGTGAATGATTTTAATATCAAAGAAATTTCTGATTTGTGATTGAAAAATCTAGAATTGAAGATGTGAAAAATCAAATCGAGATAAGCAACGTTATTCAATGCTAATTCAAGATTTAATTTTTAAGGAAAATGTGCATTTTTTAATTTGTGAAATTCAATGAATAAATGAAAAATATATAAGAATGATGAAAAAATCGCGCCAACTAGAGTTAGTCAACTGTTGATGCATTTTAGCCTACAATATATATATATAAACGTACCTCACGTATACACTCGCTACACATCACACCTGCGACAATGTTGTTGCAACATAACGTCTTAAATAGTTTACGCTCTTCTCTCGGCTTTCCGACATAATCCGTCCCCGAACGATACAAATGTAGAACTGTGTACTACGCATATATGGATCTAAGTTAGACTTACGAGTATAACAGTGAATATGTGCGATTAGGAGTAGAATAATTTCTTAGACGGTAGAGTGCTGTCTGCGCGGGGGGAGGAAGGGAGGGAAAGAGGGAAGTTCTATATGTATATGTAGAGGAGGACACGTGTGTTTTTTTTCTCCCAAAAAATATACCTACTCCACCCCGAAAGCCTGCTATCTGCAAGCTAATAATAATGCAAGCAACGGTCCTTGCCTCAGGTACACAATAGACAAATACCCAGAAATACCGAAGGAAAGAATCGTGTACACTTCACGAAGATAAAAGAGAAATTAGACAAAGGGAAGATAGGAATACAATTTGCCAGCGTTACGGCAGGAGTAAGCGCTGTAATGCCGAAGAATTATACGGATATATTATCTTAAATGGTTTTACACGCGCGCGCGCGCGCGCGTGCGTGTATTAAAGCGATTGTAAATATATATATTAGATACACCTTATAATAAACATAATTTAAAAACAAAAAAACATAATGTTTTAATATCTCTATTTAATTTATATATTTCACGTATGCGACTGTGAAAAAATTAAGAATTATCGCTATGTATGAATTAATTGTCATCTGTTTATTGTCAAAGGATAAAAAAAGATGTTTGTTGCGTTCAATTTGTAAATGTAAAAGTAAACGCCTCTAAATTTTTCTATATTCCACTTTTTTTAAACTTTTATCAATACATTGTATATTTCTTTAATAAAGATGAGAGCATTTTTATGCTTAATTTTCGTTTATCAGGATAAATCATAAGTTTTATAAAATAACATTATTTTATAACAGTCTTACTTGATATTATCAATTATCTTTTTCTTATATATTTTATTGTTCTCATATTGATCACATTGTGTAATAATAATATTAATTATCAAATTGATAATACTAATAATAATATAATAATGATCAAATTGAGTCAATACGTAATATTAATTATGCTTTCAAAATTGTAAATAGGTTTTATCAATTGTTTTACGAATAATTTTAAATTATGGTATTCGTATATCGATTTGATACGATTTGATCGATTTGATTAGGTCTCATGGTTTAAGGATATTTATAATAATTTATAATATTTATAATAATTGTCATGTATTTGAAATCATCATATTTTCACAATTTGATATGTGTGTGACTATCGATAATTTGTTAAAATTTCTGTTGTGTTGCGAGAGGTTAGTCTCTAGAGATATCACGAGTAATCGTGAATACAAAATTTCGCGCGCTTTTCCTGCGTTATTTTCCCGCCATAATCAAGTGCGCGTTGCCTGTCATTAAAAGGCACGTTCCACTTGACGTTTGCAACAAAGCTCGCAGAATTATTTCGTGTTTACTGAAAGACAAGCAAAGACGGATGCTGCTTATAAATATTACGATTATCAAATGAAACAAAGTCAAAAGTGTCGCGCGCTCACATTGTATTCAGGTATAATTAATATATGAACAATCGTAATTAATTGTTTTCGCTAGCAAATGCCACAAAGGAGCGACAGTGGTGAGAGAGGAAGTCTGGAGCAGCATGATGGCGAAGCAACTGAGGTTAATAATAATTTATTATTTATTTATTATTATTTGTAAAAAATTCAATAGAAAAATTGTTATGCGCGCAATAATTTCTTTTCGAGATATTAAATAAAATTTGGACACTTGTTTTAATTTATATTTAATATATATATATACTTGTGTATTTTACAGATCAATGCTGTGTACTACTTTGTGTAATTTCACTTCTACAAACCGGTGAGTTTGAACTATTTTTCCTATTTTAATTACGAGATGACAGATTTGAAAATTTTATCAAATATGTATGTAAATATATCTACACGGTGACAAATATTAGAAGTGAATCAAACGAATTAAAATGTTTTCCTAACAATTATTAATATATAAAAGTTTGCAATTAAATTTCGCATTAAATTTGTAATATGATAACATATAAAATGTACCGCGAAATATACAGTGAAATTTTATTTATTTCTATAATTACTTGATATTAAAAGTTACTTATTTCATAATTATATTAAATGATAATAAAATGTTCAAATCAAGAATACAGAAATATTTCTGAAATTATGTGGTTGTGTCAATGTACATATAAATAATTTATAACTTAGACATTATGTTTTTATTTATGCATATATAATTTATATTATTCAAGTATCTTATTATATCAAATTTTATAAAAATATATTGATACAAAAAGAGATAATTACAAACTTAATTCGCACAATTTTCCTGCTATTCTACAATAATCTCTCAATTCTCATTCTATTTTATCAGCGCATGCGCAAACGGGACATTTATTTTCGACCATGTGATTACGTAGTAGTGACGTAGTAGTGACGTATTGCGTGCAGCGCACAGCTGATTCAAAATAGCGGAGAGTCAAGAATAACGAGAGAGACAGAATAGAGGGAGTTCTATTGTATCTCCGTCAAAGATGGCGAAGGCCAAGCAAAAGTATATAATTACGTGAAAAATACGTTCAAATTGTGTGTGGAGTCGTGATTGGCTGGAAAACTCGGATGGTGGTTCGACATTTGCCTTGATATTTTTCTTCTTAAATATACGCGAATAAATCTAATCCGATGTCCGAATATTTTGATTCAATCTACCCGAGATCGCATTATCAGAGCCGTAATCGTTCTTCAAAGCGTGCGCGTTTCGATTCCCCGTTCTTTCGGTGTAAAATAAACCATCTACAGACGCACAATGGCGGATTCATTGCATAAAGATGGATACGAAAACTGTGAGTATGAGAAAAAAAACGACAACGAAAGGTGTCATATCTTTATGGCCACTCTCCCACGCGATTTTCCAAGAGTTGTATTTGTTACAACTGCACTACCTTACACTCTCTACCTTACACTCTACACTTGGAAGCAATGGCTGCGCTCGAATTGCCTCGAACGAATCGTTGTGAACGTGTCGAGATAATTATAATCTTGTCAATTATAGCACTCGTAACGCGTTCAACGAATTTTCGCTCCATGCAACGTATTGTGTTTTGCGAATGCAATTATTTCCAGAGGGGACACCCCACCTAGTTCCTTCGTGCGCGTCTGAAAACCTACGCAACCGATCATGTGATTGTTTTGGCAGATTCGTGTTTGCGTGAATTGTCAATGGTAAATTACACATGTAAACATATCTGTTGAAAAAGTTTGCATCAATTTATCCTTCCGTCTAAATTAAAGGTCTGCTTTTTTGCTAGAATATCATTTTCTGTGTATTCAGAATGTAAAAAATAAATGATTTTTCTTTAGATAAAGAAGAAAAGCAAGAAAGATTTTAATAATAATATAAAGAATATATAAAAAAACAAATCTAAAATGAGACAGATATATAGAAGATATAAAGAAAAAGAAAAAAGAATAAAATTTGGAGAGTGTAAGGTGCTGCAAGATGAAAATAAAAACTTAATTTTTAATGACGCATATTATTATCATTGAACAAATTTGATTTTGTAACCGCGACATCATTATCTGCGGATATTTGTTAAAGTACTGATAAGCTATTGCTGATATCGTTCTAACTTAGGCAGATAAATCTCTAAAGTAATGTAAATCTTTCCGATATGTATCTCCATCTACTCTCCATTGATTCTACATCCATTTGGATTTATATTTGATTCATTTGTTTAAAATTTGTAAATTTTACTTCTAACATTTTTAAATTTTGCAACTTTGTCACTTTTCTTTTGTAAAGTATTGTATAATATGTTTGAATAAAACCATGTTAAAATATTTAAAATCCATTTAAAATTATATATTGTGCATTTTTGTTATTTTCTGGAAGCAGCTAGTTTGACTATGCGTTCTAGCAGTGGTAATATTGGATCGGATAGTGACATGAAACTGGAGCCATCCAGCCCTACAGAAAAATATACATTCTCCCGATGTGGTAGCACAGGATCAGTGAACACTCCGTCTTCATCCGCTCATAATACAGGTAAATGATTTTGAAACTTGATATTTTTTTCATATCGATTAAGAATGTTTAATGACAGGCTGATCAATAGAAAATTAATTAAGATAATGTAAATAAAATTAATTAAATTAATGTAATGTTCAGAGGATGAAGACAGCGATAACAAAAATTCCACCATAAGCTACAAAGAACGCAGGAGGGAAGCTCATACGCAAGCTGAGCAGAAGAGACGAGATGCTATCAAGAAGGGTTATGACTCTCTTCAAGATTTGGTTCCCACTTGTCAGCACACAGATTCATCAGGTTATAAGATTTCCAAGGCTACGGTGCTTCAAAAATCCATTGATTACATACAGTTTTTACTGCAACAGAAGAAGAAACAGGAAGAAGAACGTAATGCATTAAGAAAGGAAGTTGTTGCATTACGCATTATGCAAGCTAATTATGAACAGATTGTCAAAGCGCATCAAACGCAACCGGGACACGCGGAGATGCGTATTTCGGACGAGATGAAATTTCAAGTGGTAATATTATCTATTTTTGTCTTTCTAAATTGCAATAATTGATCATCTGTTCTACATAATGTGTATTCTGTGTGTTGCAGTTTCAGGCAATAATGGATCGCCTTTTCCAAACGTTTAATAACGTTTCTGTAGCTAACTTTGCGGAATTATCTGCATGTGTGTTCAGTTGGTTGGAGGAGCATTGTAAACCTCAGGTAAATTATATTTCTTATATTTATTTTGCATTTGACATATTTCTCTGAGATATGAGAAAGTTGATAAATGCATTCTCATTATTTTCTTAGACTCTACGCGAAGTGGTACTTTCTGTACTGCAGCAACTCAACAGTCAGATTAACTAGTCAAATGTATCTTCAAGAAAGATACACATTGCACAATCTCTTCGAAGAATTCATTAGTTTCGTATATCTATTGAGAATATATGTCTAGAAATTTCAAGATTTTGAAATCAAATATACACGTGTCTTTGTTTTTCTATTTGATTAGTGATAGTGAATGCTCGATAAACAATATAAGCGAAATTAAAACATTCGAATTATTACTAAATTTCTAATACTAAAATTTTAATTAGTACTAAAAGTGAATGAGAGATATTGGTTGTTTTTCCATTACATTCTCTGCATCAATGCAATTTTTTGACTAGTTAATATATAAATCTGGATTTTATATTCCATACATCTTGTTAAAAAGGCTTCAAAATGTGATCTCTTAATTGCACCCAATGAGCATTTGATCTTTTTAAACAGATTTATTACGTAATAAAATCAATTATTCGAGAAGTTTTTAATTTATATAAAAACTTGTTGATTTTTTTATTATATATACAAGGTGATTCACAATTTATAAGTAATAGAAAATGATTAAGTAATAGAAAATGATTAATTTTGGAACACATTGATTTATATAATTTATATCATTTTGTGTTTAATATCTTTTTTTTTTCTTTTTTTAAGTCTTTTGTGAAATAGATCCACTAACAGATATCTCTCTTAGTTTGTACGGATAATCAAAATTTTATAATTTAGTAGTGATAGGAATTCTAGAATAATACTTTCTGTATGATGAGATCTGTAGACCAATCATACACAAAGTTACTACAAAAAAGAGATGTGCATATATTGCATACGTTACAAATATATAATATGCATGGGAAAAATAAAAATAAAAATTTATTTTATATACAGTTTAATGGATGTAAATATACAGATACGATACAGAATTGTTATCAATGACCATACCGTTGAACATTTTTATTAGATCTTTTATTGCATACATTTTGTGATAAATAAATGGCATATGATGTATATATGTGTGTACGTATGTATGTATATCTGATTATATATATATGTATATAACAGATTTATAATATATATTTACAATGAACGAATGAATGCGTAGCCGAACTTCATGTATATATCTAATATTATTCCCTAACTCCTATATACATATATATGGATTTTAATTAATATTTTAAAAATACAAGAGATTCATTAGAAGTATTCATACACATATATATATCTCTCTTTCTGAATATTATCATCAGTCAATATTATCGTCTCCATCTTTCATGGCTTGAAACTTTACATTGCTTTTACGATTGCAATTATTGCTAAGAGAGCGCTCTTAAATTTTGTGCAACCTTCCCTTTAAATCTTTTCTGATTCCGTGGGCATACTTTCTCCCTGTGTGATATCATTCAATGGTATCGTGTTTAATGTAGTTCTATTGGGATTATCGATCTCTTGTTGGAGGCTCCGTTGACGTCGTCTCTTGGATCTGCCTCCCGGCCGACAGCACAAATCGCGAAAGATGCAAGCGTAGCAGGCGAGCAGCGCGGTCAGCATTGTTAAACCGCTGATCGCGAGAATGACAACCAGAAAGATGGAAACGTTGTCATCCATTTTATATGTCGCGCAGATTTAAGACAGTTAAATTCTGTAACAGAAATTCAACAAATTTTATTTTTTTTAGTAAATTTGACCGACTTGTGTAACCATATATAAACGGAAAAGATTCATTGAGTTACCTCGATTTAGAATTTATAATTAAAAGTGCATAGAGATGAAATCCAGATCTGGAGCTAATCAGATCATTGATTCAACTATAATAAATTATTTGGAAATTTGTTATTGTAGAAAAATATTCTGTTTTTATATCAGTCGCTAAAGTAAGGAATTACTAATTTTTTCGTACGATTACTATCAAATCAAAATCATTTTTTTATTCGCTACGTATTCAATAACTTACTTGATGATGAGAATGAAAGAATAGGGCTCGTAATTAATTTCTTTTAAGATGATATTTCATAATCTTGTTAAAAAATTCAGGAATTTAAAAGATGGTTTTCGTAGAACGTTAATTATTTCGTTGCACGTGAATCGTAATGCGACGCTACGTTTTTCGTGATATCAAATATACTGCGTAAAAATTAATTAAAACTAATTGAGGAACTTAATTAATTTCGCTATTACGTGCTATTTTCCAACATTCTTTTTTTTACTATTTATCGATTTTATTGTTTATTGATAATAAATTCTGATTCAATCCGTATAGCGTTCGCGTTCTCTCTCTCTCTCTCTTGCTCTTTTCTTTATTTTACACGCATGAGATATCTTATAACATAGCGAGATATCTTATAAGACATCTCATACATATCTTATAACATAGCGAGATCTTCGCTCGATTGAGCGATTATTTGTATGTTTACTCGCGAATTCTACCTAGACTTCCTGAAGATATTCTCTCTTCCTATCAAAGTAAGACCAATAAAAAACTAGATCTCTTCGTGTGAGGACAGAGAGGTATAAAAGGTGTCTTAAGAAAAGAATCTACCTATAAAAGCATCTCGTTAGGCGAAAAAGAACGTAGTAATCTTGGATGCAGCATTAGTGGAATACAGTACTAGAATAACTGCCGCGATATGCGTAAGAAGATCGTATTTCCTTATGAATATTAGATGCTTGCCGAGAACGACATCATCAGCCTCGACGCTCAGAAAATTTTACGATGGATGGGGGCGCGGACGATAAGGGTCAAAAAACTCTAGGCAAATGAAAAGAGACGCTGTTATATAAAAATATGAAGGTGAACTATGCGAGGAATTTGCAAATTGCAAGACGAACTGTTCATAATGAAGCGCAAAGACTTTCGGAATTGAGGCAAAGCTAGAAAATGAAGAGCGGGACATGATTTATATATCTTTTTTTTCCTTTTTTTTCTTTTCTACTTTCTTTTTTTTAGGGAATTATTTTTAAATTATATCGTGAAGAATGTATGTCTTTCGACAGTTTTTGTGATACAACATTCGGTTAATTTTTTAATTTTGCGTCTTCTTTTCTAGCTCATTTTTCGAAAATATCGATATCGGAAAATATATAAGGATGATTACATCTCACACAAAAGGCGGATCTCGGTTGGTAGGTACGAAATGTTATCGGTTTTATTTGCACGCCCTGTACCATTTCTCTCAAACATCGTGACGAGCATTTATCGTTACATCGCGATGACACGCTTCCTACCGCTTTATTTGATTTATCTGATTACAAATTCGTTGGCGCGTATCTCGTACCATTATCCGCGATCATTTGCGTAAAATTAACGAAGGGCCATAGAACCGGAGGATGGGAAATGACGACATTTCGACATCAATAAACATGCCTCTCTCTCTCTCTCTCTCTCTCTAATTCGATAACGATAATGATAAATAGAGCGCGATTTTTAAGCGACGTGAAATTAGTGAAAAAGAAAATTGTTTAATGATTCTATAATAATGTTATAATAGAAAAGATTTTTGAAAAATATTTTGCAATCAAAATTCCTTAATATTATATTGTTTATATAATCTCTGTTATATATTTTCTATATATGTTATTTTTTTGTTCTACATGTGCTATCTTTTTGTCGAAGAGTATATATGAGAGTTTTTTAGATAAATTTTTTTTTAATTTTTAAAAATTTTTATTATAATTATGACTTTGATAACAAAATAATACTATTTTATACTTTAAAAAATGATACTAAATTATAAATAAAACTTGCCTTGCATCCTTGATAAGGCTTTTTTTCGAAGATTGCAAAAAAAATCAATATCCTTATTACGCCATGACAAGCAAAATTTTTTATGCAGGAGACATTATACTATTAACTCGTTATCCTCTTATGTGAATTTTCATTCAAAAAATCTTCAAAAAAATAAAAGCATTTTTAAATGCTTTTATTTTTTTCTATTCGTAAGATTTATGTTCTTATATTTATAATACGTATAATAATACATATAATAATTTATATGTAATTTTATTTATACGGATATAATAATTTATATATAAAGGCAATGATATTTTACTTTGCTAAAAAAAAATAATTTATGCATATAATATTATACACTAAGGCTGTGTTCCAAAATTCACTGCCAGTACTGAAAATCTATAATTTACGTGACGTACACTAGACGTAGATTTTCAGTACTGGCAGTGAATTTTGGAACGCAGCCTAAGAGAGAGAGAGAGAGAGAGAGAGAGAGAGAGAGAGAGAGAGAGAGAGAGAGAGAGAGAGAGAGAGAGAAAGAGATAGCATAATGATCTTTCCTTTAATATATAACTTCCTCTTGTTGGAATCTTATTGTTTAAAATTCTATACGATGTTTGATGATATAAACAATAATGAGTTCATATTATTTATATTATGTTCTTCTTTTTCGATTTTCAGATTTAAATTGCTCTTTTAGAAACATATAGGTTGCCACTCCCTAACAATTCCCTCTAATTATCGATGTTATCTTAAAACGTTCGGGTTATGACACATTAAATAAGTATAGAAGAGATATTATTTAAAAAAAAAATAAAGAAGTACATGAGATATTTTTAAAATACAAATGTCACACATAATAAATGTTAGATATAAATCAATTAATAGACATGTTTAGATGTCTTTTTTTATCTTTCATGTTATTTTCATGGAGTTATGGGATCATACATACGATCACCGCATATTTAATCCGAGTTATATCTCATGAAGATTGATCGAGGATAGTACTAGGAAAAATTGCTATGCGGAACGCAATATCGTAATAATAGCTTTACACTTAATATATTTATCGGAAAATATATTAAATGGATTTGCTTTAATTTTTCGAATAAAATAAGATGTTTAAATAACTTTTTAAAGAACAGACAGCTCTTGATATAATTCTTATCCGCGAGCAAAATTACTTTCACATATATAAAATAGAAATAGAGTTTCCTTCCTATAATTTTTCTCTCACCTACGTTATTATGATATTGGAGGATTCTTGCGCGCGCGTTTCTTCTTCATCCCCTTTTAGTACGGTCCGTGGACACAGAATATCCGATTTATGCGCATCATCGAGCTTCGCCTCGCTCTCGTTCACCCCGCGGAAAATTGAATGCTATCGTTCTCCTTCGTCCCTCGATATTTCAAAGCGTTTCATCGTCGCACTGATCCGGCATCTCTCTGCTCTCTATGCGGATACAGCGATGTATTTTTATAACAACCGACTCGATGTTGAATAATTCACGTCCAGATATCTAGATTCGTCGCATTCGTGATATCGGAATAAGAATCCGATAATTATTTTCAAAATCGTCTCAATAGTCACTTTATTTTATCGCACGATTTTATCACTGTAGCCGGGTAAATCGATCTTCTCTTTAAAAACTCGCTGTCTTTTTCTCACACCCATTGCATGTATAAATTGCGAAATGGTGTTTGATACTGGAAATAATTAGAAAATCTCGATAGACGTTAAATTGAAAATAATTCAGCTTGACAGGGATCATTCCATTATTGGAGTCGATGATGAATCACCGCGAATCGAAAAGAAAGGAAAAAGATTTTTTTTTCTTTTGACAGATGGGAAGGGAGAAGCCTCTTCTCCCTTCCGTTACATCACTGTTTACAGCGTGAGAGTCGCGTGCAAACTGTCACAGTGAGCGGTCCATCGTAATGCGCATCCTCCAGAGAGCTCCTCTGCTACTCTTCTCCCACTCGCGGTCCTCTTCTCATTCCACCCTACATAATATAATGGAAATCTAAGGATTTAATCTTTTCACTCCCGACGTAAAAACTAATTATATTTAGTCTGCATATTTTTCTTAAAATATGTTAAGAATAAATCAATTATCATTGTTTTTCTGTTCGCATATTTAGAGTCTCTCATGCTGTTTATTTCGTGTTAGTGTATTAAATTATTAAAATTTAATTAATTTATTTATTTTACCTAATGTTTTTATTGGATTATACATATTATAATGTTTTTTAAATAGGATAAAAATTTGAATGTGAAAGGTTGAAAATAAAGAAAATCATCTTCTATCATTTTTTTAACATACTTAATTTTATTAACGAGATTAGAATTAATTTTTTTAACTATCTGAAAATGATTGATATTGAAGTATAATGATCTGCGAGAACGATTTTACTCTTAAAATATTATTTGCGTATTTTAGAGTAACGAATGTGAGTCAATAATATATATGAAAAATAAAATACTTTAATTATTTAAACGTACATATGAACGGAATAATCCATATTTATTATTAATTAATGTTATATTTATTATTGCAGATTAAATAGAGTTATATTCCCGAAACATGCTGCTTCCATTTCCTCGCGATAATTTCGTTGTGCAAGCGATACTGCGGTCCTGTTTATCTTTCACGATGGTTCTTTGTCGACGAATATTACCTATTACTCGTTTAATGGAGTAGATTCTCCTCCTTTTTATCACAATTTTTGGTCTGTGCTTTTACCACGTGATGTCTCTCCTCGGTAGAATTGAATTTCTCGAGGATGAAATTAAATGTATCTTCCAATCAAATGTGTCTCCAGAGAGTACATAAGAAGGTCGAGATTGGGGTTTAGTTACATAATCGAAAATCAGGGGCAATAAAAGAGTGGAAAATTATTACATAGTATATAAAGGTTATTACGTTATGTTAGAAAATAGATTTCGAGAGTGAGATTTTACACATTTGAAACAGGAAAAAAGAGATAAATATTCAGTATTTTGGAGCATCATGCTAAGATTCATAAATAAATTTTAAAACATGAAAAATAGAAGAAACAAAAAAAAAGATTACGCAAATAGAGTTAAAACAAATTTCACAAATTGTTGAACAATTGCGTTTATTAACAGTTGTATCAGTGGATTATACGCAAACCCGTACATATATGCATGGGAGAAATAATATGCTTCGTTAGTTGTGTTCCACGCACGAAGCGTATAAATCGCATTGCGCTCGCAAATTATTAACGATGGCTGTCGGGATACGCGGCGAAACCGTAACGAGATTACGAAGATGTGACACGGATGTACGCACGTTCCCGGTATAAAAAACCGTTTCCTTTCGACCCGCGGTTATTATTTAAGTCAGGGGAAAAGTTCCCTGGAAATAATTCACGAATCGTGGAGCTCGATTTGTTACGTTGATGGTTGCGCGACCTCCTTTTCCTCGATCGTCAAGAACGACAATCTTCGGTATCCAGTACCGAGAGTCGCATTAAATTAACAATTTTTCCATAGGAAATTACTTTCATATACAACGTTCACGTATACTTATTTCTTCTTTTTCCTCGAAATGACATCTTAAAGAGACATGATCCTTTAATGCTCGATTTGAATATCTGGTTAAAGGATTATAAGCAAATCGAAAAATAGGATACTCAAATGTTTTTAAATAAATTGAAAAATAATTTTATAATTAAAAAAAATATGTATTTTGAGTAATAAAATTAAGAAAAAACACTAAAATAGCAGAAAGATACTGAAACAATAAAACGATAATGGTGTTAATCTTAATCATCCGCGTACGATTATTTAGAATGCCATTATTTTCTTTGTTTCAATTTTTTTATCTTGATTTTACTATTAAATATTCTCTTTTCGCAGAACATTATTTGTCTATTTATCTAAATAAAAATTTCATACAATGTTAAAAAGTCGCCTATTTTTCAATTTATTAAACTCCTATAATTCTTTAAATATGCAGCGATATTTCCTTGGTTATTACAATCCATTTATCAATTCACATAGGACAAATTGTCGTAAGAGAGATAGAAAGAAGAAATATAATCTGGTAAAATATTTCTTATTTTCTAAAAGATAAATACTACTCTTTTTTTATTACAGACATTAAGTTTTTGTCAATATAAAAAATTAAAAAATTAATAATCGATCGCAGAATTGCGCCGAAACATTTAAGATGGACTAAGAGCCTCCTTTAGAATATTACTGAATTCTACTAATTCTTTCCTTAGCTTTTGCACATCCGTTTCTTCTACTGTCCTTTCGTATTGACGGAGATAGCGTTGCACTAATTGTGCCATAACTTGTGCGAATCGCTCATCTTTCTTCTCTTCCAGATCCTCCTACAGTGAAACATTAAAATACAGATAAATAAAAGCATATATCCGCTTTTCCTTATCGATCTTAGATGATCCTTCACTTTTAGATATTTAAAAATTTTTCAAGATAAAAATGCTACGAGAAAAAAATAAATAAAAAATTTCACGATATGAAATGTACGTGCTTCCGCTCTTCGTGTTACAAATACTGTGATAATTGATATTTGGTTTAATAACACGATGCGTTAGATCAATATTGAAGTTCTGAATAACGGCATACTAACTATATAGCAACAATTTACAAAGTCCCATCGTGCTCGTTTGCCAGGCGGTGGCTTAAACACTATTTTTATAAATTCGATCACCGGTCGCAGCCCCGTGAATATCGAGAAGATGCAAAACGGTGGTGGAAGTGTCGTCGTAAGCATAAAATCGACGTAAGCCTGAAAAAAAATGGAACGATATTCGCTCACGTGACGTTGACATTTGTAAATGTCTTCTCCTTATCGGCGATTTGTCATTTTGATTTCCTCTCTATTTTATCTATTTTTCACTTTTAAGCTCGAAGATGAAAAATTCACCGAAGACGAAAGCGTTCAAAAATTTTCTTACTTCAGTTCGGCCAAAGATCCACTCCACGTTAACGTTATCTGTCACTCTGGTGAAGGTATTCGCCATACAAGCGATTAGCATATTTAAAACAACTATCACGGAAATGAACTGAAAACCTGACGAATAAAATATTAAAATAATTTATATTGGAAAAATGATTTTTTTTTGTGCGGACCATCGACCAACGAAACAGCCTAAGATACTCACTGGCGAAAGCGAGGTAACCGATAAATTCGGTAAAGTTATGTTGATTAATTATCGTCTCCGATTCCCTCTCACCCGGAAGATTCTCGATGATCACGTCGGCGCTTTCCACTGGACTCATGCAGAAAACAGCCCAGAAGAGAGTCTTCAGGGTGGACTTGAAATCGACGAAGGAATTCTCCTGCTCCGTCTTCAATTTTGACTCATCGTCGGTCTGTACCATTCCGTTATAGTATTGATAAAGATGACACAATCCTTAGAGAAAAGATGTCAAAATCCGTAAAAGACATCGGATGACAGGAAAAAAATTATTAAATCATGCGAAAAGTTTTCTCGAATTTTGCGGATTTGTAGAATATTTTCAACTAATTCTCTTATTTTAAAAAGCTAATGAATTTCTAAATGTGCATATATTATTAAATGAAACATTTCAGATTGTTTGCCAATTAAAAAAAAATTTTTACACGATTCAACACACACTATGTATCTTACCGATTGTGAAGGCTATAACGATAATTCCGAATATCGCGACAAAATGGCCGACGTCCCTAATCATTTTGACCAGAGAAAGCTGTAGAGGTCCGAGATGGTAATCCAATTGACAGATGAACAACAGTTTAAAGAACGCCATGATCGTCGCCAGACAAAAGATCCCCTCCGCTATCAATGTCGGATCGTATTTGTGCCAGTATTTTCTTTCTAAATCACGTTGACCGTTCATTCTAACGTCCAACGCAGCAACTATCCAGAAGAGAAACGTCAGAATGAACAGCACGAGCATAACTAGCTCGTACCTGCATTATACAGCAAGAATTATATACGCGACCGGAAAAAAATGTATATATTTTAATTAGACTATATAAATTTATGAAACTTGAATTTTTGAAGTTTGAGGGATTGTTATCATGATATTAATTGAACAGCAATCCCTTTATCTCTTACCAATTTGTACGTGTCCTGAAGCATCTAACTGGACCATCCACAATGCAGAGTCGAATCAATGCAACTGTGTACGATATCACGTAGATAGCAAGAATCCATTCGTATCCTGAAACAAGATAATTAACTTAAATATTTGATTGTAAAAATGTATACACACTATACGTAACGTCATCGCATTAACATAATATCCAGTGTTTTCTGTTATATATAATTAAAATATTTAGATAATTAGATATTTAGATTTAATACTTAGATTATTAAATGAAGTAATTGTTTCATTTTTTATTTTTGTACAAATGTATATTATTTTTATCTTTGATAAAAATAATACTATTAAATGTGAGATATGTTTATCTTGTTTTATCTTTATCTAGATGATTTTGAAATTATCTAAATGGAACATTGGATAATATTAAATATTCTTATATAAATGAGTGTCAAAATAGTATAATATCTTAAATTAAATTGCTGTTTAATAATAATTTAAACAATTCGTATAAGAATTTGACATTACATTGACTTGATGACATCATGTATAATATGCAATCTATTATAAGATTTAATTTTAATGATGCGAGAAAGGAGGGAAGAGGATAAATTAGACGTGCACCGGTATCGGGTGGTCCACGAAGCTGTTCGGTTTTGTCGCTAGACGATTGCAGAAATACGAATGTGAGGAATATCAAGTAATTCGCTACGGAAGAGAGAAACTTGTTGACCGGAATTTCGTAAAACTTGGCTCGTTTCGAGTTTGGCGCGAACAACACGATGAACGCCACGATCGGTAAGATGATGAGCTGTGGGATCACTGACAGACACTTTAACCACGTGCTTCTGACCTTCCATTCGTGCCAGGTGCCAATCCATTTACTCTCAACAATCTGAAAAGAGATATGATTTTATAATAAAATTTTTTTCATTATCTGTGGAAACTTTTCATAAAGAGAGAGAGAAAGAGGAAGAGAGTATATTCATCATTCTCATCAAACGATCAATTAATTTTTTTGACAGATAATACAAATTTTACTAAGCTTTCTTGTATAAATTCCCCATGCATATATAAATTGATGTAGAAAAATTATTAAAATCATAAAATATTTGGGTAAAATGAGTTTTAAATTGTTCCATTCTATTTAGGAATTTTTAATTTTTTTCTAATTTACAGCAATATTCTCTCAATCAAGATTCCATAGTATAATTTGGTTGAGTTTCGATCATCATACCTGTTGTACATTCGGATGAGCTATGAAGCTCTTTTGTTTGTAATCTAAAGCCAGCAAGAGTCTTGGATATATAAAAGTTGAACTACGTCCGAAACCGGCGATTTGCTTTAATACACACTCGACTTCTTCGGCCGTACGAGCGTATCCGATCAAATCCGTCGCAAAATGGGACACTTCCTTTATCGCAAAACGAGGCTATTAATTTACCGTAGGGCATAAACCCAGTGTCTCTCGATATACCTCGCAGATATTAAAATATATTAATGTGAACAAATTTGTTTTTATCATTATTGTTATTATTTATGGATTAATAATATACCTTATCATATAAGAAATAAATAAATAATAAAATAAATAATCCAATAAATGAATAACAATATTTTAACTCACACTGGATAAGGCTTTGTAATCAGGGTAAAATTCTCTATCGAATGAAGCTTCCCTGCTGAGTTCAGCAGACAATTCGAAAGCTCGTAAGATCGGATCTTCCTCAGTTTGGCAAATATATACCGGATTTGATACCGCACTATACATGAATAATCTCATTTTCTCTATGGTCAGGATGTCACTCCTCTCTCTTTCCGGTCTGCGATAGTGAAGAGAATAAAAATAAATATGGAATATATAAATTATTCAATTACTCGATAATTCTTCATGAATTAATTATACGTAAATAAATTTTCTAAGCTAACAATAAGTTTCTTTTTCTGCACAGAAAAAAAAACAAGTGTCAAATCAAAACTTATATATTTAAACTAACGCGTTCATTGTTTCGTATATACGCAACAATTTATAATCTTTTTCGAGGAATTTAATAATTTTAAATCTTAACAATATTATAGTCTTATTTTAATATTGTAATTGTCACCTCAAGAATATATAATTATTTAATTCTACTTTAAGAAAATTATAATCTTTGATTTAAAAATGTTTTCTATCTAACATTGTTTCTTTTCCATTCAAGAAAATTAAATTTTAAATCATAAGAATATATTTTTCTTAATTAAACTATATAAAGTGGCTTCATTCGAGTAAGCAATTATTCAAGCAATTATATTTTTCTTTAATTAACGCGATATAATTTCATTTCCATGTTAAAACTAAATATTATGTTAAAATTAAATATAAAACAAGAATGTCCCTTTTTTCTGTGTGGAAACGGTGATCATACTTGCAGATTTCCTCGCAATTGCAACTTGGCGGGTGCGGTTTCTGTAGAATGTGACGTCGGAATCTGAGCATATCAATCATCTCGAAGTGCCCGTATTGAGCCGCGACTGCGAGAGGTGTTGTATCGTCCGGGAAATCGGGACTATGAGTGACACCGGCGTACTCGAGGCCCGGTGTCAATTCATTCAGCCTGTTCAATATTAACACGGTAATCCTCATTTGATTATCCCTGATCGCGTGCAGATGCGTGTCGGTCGGATCGATATCCGGGTGAGACAATAAATACTCGACCATCGCTGTGTTTCTCTCATTGACGGCGATATGAAGCGCGCTCATACCCTGAAAAATTATTGATTATTGATCAACATTAACGTAATATATCGATAGGAGAAATTTGAAACATAAATTAAAAAGAAAAAAATTGCACAAATATAAAATATATAGTTGAACTCTAAGAAACCACTTTCCATTCTGCTGCTTGCGTCATAATAGAACGGAAATAGCGATCTACCTAGAAAAGGAAAAAATTACGACAAAATGATTGACTCAGCAATTTTTAGACTTTTGCAAAAATTCCTTTTTTCCCGCGGCGAAAAGGAGGCTCGATTTTCGGAAGACTATCGCGGCTCTTCTCTTCTTTTTTTTTTGATCGTGTCCCTTTTTGTCGGAAGAATGGGACGACGATGTTTGTCGCCCATCTGCGGTGCGTTTACAGAGGCGGATCCTAACAATGGACCAGCACTATTGTTGTCGGCGATACCAGTCACAATATTCACTGATATTTTGGCTTTTCGACAGACCCCCGGGAGTTATTCATACATATCCACAAGCCAAACGCGACAATAATGCCTCGTGATATATGTTCAGTAAAAAGCCCTCGTTTCATGACAATCGGCAGCTGTCGTCCTTAATGTTTCGCGTGACTCGTCTAGATTTTACGTTCGATTAAATATTTGTTTATTGTTTGTTTCCGTGAATTTTACAAAAAATATTTAAAAAGATATGTAAGTAAAATAACGGAAATCTGCATCCAGAATATTCTCGAATTAATGATGAATCGAACAAATCCCCTAAGCTCAATAAATTTATCTTGTTATTTTTACAATTTATAATTAAAATTTTTTAAATTTTAATTAAGTTTAAATAAGTAATTAATTAAGTTAATATTGATAATAAGTTCTTCATTAAAGCCTTTCGAGAGTAAATTTAATTATCAACAAGAGATGGTTGTAAAAGAATTCCTTTTCGAATTCTCTTACATTGTAAATATTACACTGGCATAGCACACAAGGCGTTTATTAAACGAATGGGTATCGGTAATCTCGTCAAGACACGCAAGTACAGTAGTAAAAGGACTCGCAAAGAGCCAAAGAGATTCCCATATGGAATTTACAGTTGGGCGGATCATTTGAATAATTTTATCAGGTCTCGGTTGAAACCATTGTCTTGTAAAAAGACGGCCTGAAATATGGCCAGAGATATACGAGGACACCCAGTTTCTTTCTCTACGTTCTGCTCTCTCTTTGTCTCTCTTCATCGGGTTCCCTCTTCTCTTCTCCTCTCCTTCTTCGTGCCGCTTCGGCATTTCGGTCTCAAAGTCAAACGACAGTTTGACCGCTTTTCTGGAACCCTAAAGAGAGGAAAGAACACACCGATCGAGGAAACATTCCACGGGGGGTACGTGTTTCTTCACGAGTTGAAGATTCGAGATAACTAGACTTTACATCGCTTTTCGCTCTCTTCGTTTCTCCCCTCCTGCTACAATTTGTTTCATTTTGCTTTTGATACAGAATAATAAATTGTCCAAGTTGACGTAACAATCTGTGTTAAAGAATGTATTTGCAAGCTGTTGGGAAATATTTTCAAAGAAATTTTCGTTAGGAATCTCACACCGTCAGTCCCCTGTAATCTATTAGAGCGAGTGATACATACAGCTTAACTTTACATTATTCTCATTTATCTTTCACGAGATTCTCCTTTTGACAAAAACAAGCACGAACTAAGAAAAACCTTTCGCATTAATCACTCGTGCGGACGATTTCAAAGAAGGATTTGACAGAATTGACGTGGCGACACCAGAAATGCAAAAGCGTATCTCTCTCTTTGAGATACGCACCGCCGTTTCGGTGAATCCACCGTTAAGTAATGTCGGGATTGAATCACGGGACGAGCGGGGTGATGGGAAAGATAAATTCGAGAATCTTTACGAGCTGTTTAAAAGTCTACCAAGTTTAAAGCGCGCGCGACTTGTCCCGTGACGTGAATCACGGACGGGAAATGGAATGAATCCGGTGGATCGTAATTTATGGAAAACGCATTCCATCGAGATGTAATTTAGCGTCCCGAATCGCTAACGGCATTCGCCGTCGTCATTAAGGTTCCCAAGATAGTCGGCGTTAATTGTGAAACGGGAAATAAATTTACATGTGCCTTTACATTTATTTTTGACGCGCGCGCAAATTCTTTTTAAGTTTTTAAAATTTTTCAAAATTTACTCGAATATCATAAACCATATTTTTAGAGTCGCGCAAAAAGAAAATTGTGAAATCGTGCGCTTACTTGGAAATTCGTGGCGTTTATATTGAACTCGGGTTGATCCTCTAGGAATGCTCGCACTTCGGCGACATTTCCATCAGCGACAATTTCGAAGAATCTTTTCTCGATTTCTTGCAAATGCGAAAATGCCACGCCGGAAGGCTGCAATCAAATAACCTTTAAGTAGACTTGGTGAGAAACACATTGCATCGCGTCTTCAGTTTTTCTATATTATTATTATGTAGAAGACACGCAATTTACTTTGTAAGAGATTCGGCTACCGATGTACTCTGTTTATAGAAAAGCTTACATTTTCGAGTTCATCTTCCGTCCCGGCTACTGTTTCATTATCCGTCATCACGGATAATCACGAAATTATAAACAATCGCCCTCACGTAAATGTTATATATACAGAGTAAGATTTATTTCTTAAATATAAATAGAATAGCTTAAGAAATTTAAAAGTATTAAATCTTTTGAAACAGAGAAATGTCAAAAATATATTTCTCACGTCAATTACATTTTGTTTCCATTGAGGTATAAGGGTGGGTTTTCACTTCATTTCGACGCTCATTTTCTAGCGTCAAAAAACATCACGTGATTAAAAATAAAGATACCAATTCGTCATTTTTTGATTACATGATGTCTATTGACGCTAAAAATGAGCGTCGAGCGTCAAATGAAAACCCACCCTAAGAATGAAGTCGCTTCAGTTTGAATTAATTTTAGGGAATTGTGTTTTACGTTGTAGAAAAATTATAAAACTTTAAGGATAGAGCGCTCCTTTAATTTTTCTACAACCGTGGCGGAAATCTTCTTTGCTAATTTTTTTTCATTTACTTATTTAAGTCTCGATGATACATAATATACGACAAATATATGATACGTAATATACAATGAAAAATAACAAGACAATGATATACTTTCGTTAATAATGTAATTATATCTTTTTTCGGAGGATATATATACATAATTTATATAATTTGTTTGTGCGCTACAATATACAAATAATAATAATAATATAATCGAAAATAATATAATAATATAATATATATAATAATATATATTTCATAGATAATTTAGGTTTTTTCAATGACAATAATTCTTATATATATTATTAAAATAATTAATTTTTAAGTCGATTATAATTGACGATTGTTGTGACAGTAAAAATGTGACAGTAACGCGATACGATTTAACATTACTATACAACGAAAAGGTACTCGATAGTTGCTGTCACAATTGGCAATTGATAGTAGCAACGAATTTCTATAAGATCTGTTCGTTTCAGTCGCACACTTCCTGCATCTCGTTGCTCCTATTTCCTTCCTTGGAAAATCTCTAAATCTACAACTATCTTATTTTAAATATACATAATTGAAACTGCAAGAAAGTGTAGCTAAACCGAACACAGATTTATAGTTACAGTTTCAAGTTTATAACGTTAAATATAATAGTGGATACAAGAGCGATGTGTGTTAATGAAATGAAAACTCGAAGCAGATTACGTCCCCTTTTGAATGCGTTAGATGAAGAATAAAAAGAAAAAGTGGGCTCTATGTACAATAATCTTGATTTCCTAAGAGAGGTAAATCCTCTCAAGATACTTCTCTCCATCTCTTTAAATTAATTATAACAACGGAGATATGTTTAAATATAGACTCATTCTTGCTGCATGCACGTACAAATGATTGGGATAACGTTATGACAGAAAAGTCAGTAATCTATTATCTTACACATTTTCTTAGATAACTTCATACACAGATATACCGCACAAGATACACACGATTCGCGAGCGCTTTCGTATATAAGGAACAGAAGGAATATTATATTAAAGAGAAAAGCTTCGATTTTCTCTTTAGCTTCATTCTTTTTAATCATTCTTTTATATATTGTCCTATAGATTTAATATACTACACATCATTCGGTGAACACGGATAGGTCTCACTGGCCAACTCTCTCGTTTAGAACGACGTCTTTTATTCTTGCGTATTAGATAAATGTATCTAATCTTCCTCTTACGAATGGGAACTCAATCACGGTTATACATTACTGTCTTTGACGACACGCGTGTCATTCGAATCCACGATCCGTAAAAGAAAGTGGCTCGAGTGCCTCGACAGCACTTGGACGCACAATTAATCAAATCACTAAAGTTCGAGAGGCTCCAGTGTCGAAAAGTCTTTATAACGTCACATCGCGCCAAGCACTCGAGCCCGATGATCCCCGATGATTCCACTCGAGGCAACAATATCTGTCGACGTTTGCGAGATTTCAACCGTAGAGCATCCTGGACGGCAGCACGTAGGTGGACAGCGAATAGAGCATCGACGCGTACCAGTGGATGCCCTCCTTCGTCGGCCGAGAGTCCTCGTTTTGTCCTCTGACGTGCGACGCGTCGTCCAACCTTTGCACGAAGAAGGACGTCACGCTGCTCCAGACCCTCAGCGGCAGGAAGGCGTAATGAGCCACCGTCTGGCTGTCGATGACGGCGTAGCAGGACGCCACGACGTCGTCCACTATGATCGTCCCCTCCGTCGTCAGCGGCGCGTACACGCCCTTCTCGAGCACCAGCTTGGTCTCGACGACCTTGTCCCAACGTGGAGAGCTGTCCGTGCCGTTTCTCGCGACGGGATCGCTCACGAGGACCCTGTCGCCGAGCTGTACCTTGGCGGCGAAGATCGACGAACGACCCTCCACGGGCACCAGGTGTGCCGGCGTCAACGTGAGCACTCGACCGGACTCCGTCGTCAGATGGACAAACTCCCGCATTTCGGACGGGGCGCGATCCAGGAAGGCGATCACCTCGCTGTACACGATGTCTCCGTGGGAATTCAGGGCGGCGATGCGCTCGCCCAGATGCACCTCGTCCAGCCTCTTTGTGCCGCCATGTTCCGTTCTGATCAGACTCTTTGCGGGGAAACAACCGCCGGATTTGCCCGTTGAAGACGATTCTGAAAGTAAAACACAAAGGTATAAGATAGAGAGCGTAAGAACATATAAAATAAATCATTGCTTATTGATTCCCTCAATTTCTAAATAAAATCACATGGACTAACAAGGAACCTAAATAAGAAAAATGACAGAATTTGTAAATGTACACAGAAAAAAAAGCAGTGTCAAATCAAAACTTATATACTTAAACTAACGCGTTCATTGTTTCGTATCGTACGCAACAATTTATAATCTTCTTAGAAGAATTTAATAATTTTAAATTTCAACAATATTATAGTATCTTATTTTAATATTGTAATTGTCACCTCAAGAATATATAATTATTTAATTCTACTTTAAGAAAATTATAATCATTGATTTAAAAATGTTATTTTCTATTCTAACATTGTTTCTTTTCCATTCAAGAAAATTAAATCTTAAATCATAAGAATATATTTTTCTTTATTAAACTATATAAAGTGGCTTCATTCAAGTAAGCAATTATTCAAGCAATTATATTTTTTTTAAATTAACGCGATATAATCTCATTTCAAGATTTCTATGTTAAAAACTAAATATAATATATTTTCAAAATAAGAATGTCCTTTTTTCTGTGTAATAGAATGCTCAAAAATCATAATGTTCTCCTTTTTTTAACTTTGCTGTTCTGTAACTTTTCGAGAACATTATGAGAGAATGTTATGGTAAACTGAAAGTTACATCGATTTCATATAATGCAAAATGAATGTCGTTAAATTTTCGCGATCGTTAAGCTGATTAGACCGATTACGATGAAAATTGGCGAAGCGTTAAAATCGCGCGACACGCGTAGGTCTCATTCGCACACTTTTTGTCACCCTCTTCGGCTTCCCCCTTCGTCCCATTGTTTACCCTGAGCATCGACGCGTATCGATTTCGCGCCAATTTCTACGCTCGGTTTTAATTCGGACCGACAGGCACGCCTTGTGATTTATTGTGCATTTATTTTGAAATTCGAGACATTCGAGACCGTGGCCTGAAATGAACACGAACCGCTGATTGCTAATAAAGGTAAATACGATGTTTCAAAAGAGAACGCTAGAAAGTGTGTAAAGAATACTGATCGGTGGATTCAAACACAAGCTTTTCGTAAAAATTATTTTACATTGGAGAATATTATAATTTTTTAAAAATAAAATATTTTCAATAATATAATATCATACTTTTTATAGGGATGAAAAATTAATCTGAGGGGGGATACGTACTCAACTAATAACAATAATATTTAAAAAATATAAATTATATATTTTAAATATTATAATAATAATATTTAAAATATATAATTTATATATTTTTTTAAATATTATTTAAATTATATATTTTTAATAATATATTTAAATATATTATTTAAATATAAAAAATCCAAATATAGAATAAAATTGTAATAACATATAGATTGTTAAATATGTGATATGCGTTCTCTCAAAGGAGTCAAGTCACTATGTTACTCGTAACTAAAACAGCATGACTTTAACATTCCATTAAATGGCGTTATATTACAACTGCACCGACTCCAGCATCTTTATTGCATTAAACGACGTCATTATAACCGCCAGCTCAGTAGTTTATACGCTCACCTTTATTGGCGTAGTATAAGCAGTCTTTACGCGGATATTAACGAAAAATAACTACAATTAAAATCTATATGTCTGCAAATTTATCGCGCTTTTTAGTACTCGTTTATATAGTTTTCTGCAATAACTCGAGACAATTAAAGCACGTTTAAATGCAACTCATATATTTTTCTCATCATATAGCGGAGCATTTTTAACGAGATGACAGCAACTACTAACCAGACTTGACGGAGCAATGAATGTGGGATCTGGACTCGTAATAGACCCAATCGAAACCAGCCTCGACCGCGAGTCTCGCCAACATCCCGTACTTGGAGCGATCTCGATCACTCGTTGTTATATCGACAGCTCGTCCCTCGTAGTGCAGGGAATCCACCGCATGCTTGCCCTCTTCGTCCCAGCCTTCTGTCACTCTCAGCTTTATCCCCGGCCACTGATTCATCACTGAGATCGCCAGAGCGTTGAGCTTCTCCTTGCACCTCTGTAACATTGCATGTTCTGGCTTATCGGAATGGTAACAGATTGGTTAGCGGAGTCAGTGTAATGGAGTCTAATGTATGGATGAGAAGTTTACAATCTCTACGTGTTCCTCACACGTACTAATCATCCATCTTGAACATTTAATAATTTAATTTAATATTGTATTTCATTTCCCAGATAATGGGGTAGACAGAAAGATGGAAATTTATCGTACACTGAGAAAAATCGTTTGATTGTATCAATAAGATTGTATCTGAAGGCATTTTAAACCAAGCAGAATTTCTAGTTATCACAATAAGACTCGATTTTTTATAACTAGAACGTTTAATTGACTTTGTTACAAGGATTAGTATTTTCTAGTTGGAGCTATAAAACTTTTTATTATATTAACTAAACATGGACACAGTGATATCATTTTTTAAGCAAATTTAGTATCTTTAACAAGAAAAATTGGTAAATTTAATAGGAAGGAGTTAATCATCTGGTAATTCCTAAAGGAATTCTGATTCGTTCATTTTCCAACAAACATACTGATTGAATCTATCAGATTTCTAATTAATGCAACCAGGATTTTTTTCTCAGTGTACATTCTCATTTATCGCAGTTTATCAAATATAAAAAAATGTATCTATAAAATATTAATATCTAAAGTATGATATACATTTATACGCATCTCTTTCTAGGTGTTGGGGACTATTTTTGGTCATAGTTGGGATTTAAATCAAGCATTCAGAAATTTAGAGTTAAAGCTGGCTTTTTCCAGAATGAAGAACGCTTTTCCGGACAGTTCCGCTTAACACGATTTCCGTCGCATTTGAAAACATCTCGCGACACGGTCCGGTCGTGGAATTCAAGTCGATTTCACGGTGCACGCGCGGAAAAAGGAGGATCTTCCTCGTGACCGGTGGCGTCAGGTAGATAGAGAGAGAGATCAGCGGGGTTCTCCAGGGCCGCGGGAACCGCTGTGAGGAAAACGAATGCGTGTTTTGACCGGTCATGAGATCGGTCCGGAGAATCTTCAAGAGACTTTAACGGGCCCGAGTCCGTGGCGAATCAACGGACAAACAGGAGTGTATATATAAATACGGCCCCGAGACGTCGGGAGAAGCATTCGGTCACGCTGATCCTCTCTCCGCTCTCCTCTCTTGTCCGGAGTCACTTCTCTCTCATTGTCTACCTGTATCGACAAAACGGGCGGTGCCGGGCCGCGGTGAATCAATAGCCGTTTTCTCTCTCGTAACGAAGCGCGCGGGACGAAACGACTTGTTGAGACAGGACCCAATAGCGAAGCGGAGGACCCATGGCTTAAACCCCGGACTTAATCCGGAACGCGGCGTATCGAGGGCGCGAGAAGCCAAAGCGCGCAAAGGGAAGTCTCACCATTGACCGGAGCCGCGGCATTGTCGAAGGGCCCGCGTTCAAATCGATTCTCGGAGGGCAATCGCCCACGCAGGGCCGTATCATGCGGATGACCGGGCATGCGAATGAATCGCGGAGGAAGGAGAGAAGAGGATTCTCCCGCCTCTCGCGCCCCTCTCGCTCCTTTTATTCCCAGTTGACGAGAAGGGAGGGCTCGATCGACTTTCGCCAGGGGAGACGAAATCGCTCGTCGAGGGATCGGTCCCGAGGAACGATCGCCGCTCGCGCGATTTTTACACGAGAGGAGTCTGGCACGTATAATATGCGTACACTGAGAAAAATCGTTTGATTGTACCAACAAGACGTATATGATTGAAGGCATTTTGGTTAAATCAAACAAGAATTTCTAGTTATCATGATAAGACTCGATTTTTTATAACTAGAACGTTTAATAGATTTTACTATAAGGATTTGGTTAGTATTTTCTGGTTGAATCTATAAAATTTCTTGTTGCATTAATTTCTTTGCTTGCTTCTTACTAACTTAACTCGTTAACTTCAATATTTGCCATGAAATGTATATAAAGAATTAGTATTAACGTTAAATCCAAAGTATTTTTTTTTTCTCTTACGAGCAGTAGGGCCAGAAAGAGGACGCTAGCTCTCTGATTGTGGGTATTTGAGCTGCATCCTCTTCTTGCATCACTGTTTATCAGTTTAATTTCTAACAAACTGAATTTAAAATAATTTATTCGATAAAGTGGATTGAATTGATCCAATAATCTTGTTAGAATTCAGAATATTAAACAGACTTTTGAGATTAGATGAAAAAAATTTTAGACGACTTGGTGCTGGCGAGTTTAGTATTATTAACCAGAAAATTTGGTAAATTTAATAGGAAGAAATTAATCAGATTCATGTGGTAATTCCTACAAGAATTCTGGTTCGTCCATTTCCCAACAGACATACCGGTTGAATCTACCAGAATTTTAATTAATGCAACCAGATTTTTTTCTCAGTGTACATATTTTGTTCCGTCTCTCTCTTTCACCCCTTCTCATTCACAATGGCGGTGCGCAACCGCCGATGGTCCGCCGGACACGAAGCGGGTCGCGATCCGCTCGCGGACCGCCACAATGAGACCTGTTCGACGTTGAACCGAGAATGAAACGGAGCTAACAATGTCCACGAATTTTGCAGCTTTTCTTGCGGCAATTAGCCTCTATTGAATGCGGATACCGGTCCCGCGCGCACCCCCTTTCCTCCTCGCCCTCCCTTTATTTCTTTCTCGGGGCCTCTCGATCCGCGTGAGCGTGAAAACCTTCACCGCCACGTGCACGCGATTGTCGCAGGCACGATTGCAACGTCCATCGGCTGTCGGATGAATTTCCCATTTGGGATATCCTCGTGAATATCGCGCTCCTAAATGAACCTCCTGTGCGATCGGGATTTATATTTATTATACGCGAAGGTCCGCGTATAAATTGGCGCTCAATAGACGACTTTAATTCCCTCGCGCGTGATACATCGCTATAATGAAATTTATAACCGAAGCTGCTTCAGTTTCCAGACCGCAATGTGGCCGGGAATGACGTCGGTCGATTCGCCGCTACTTCCGGCACGTGAAAGAAGGATGAGGATCGCTTCGGGAAAATTGATTTAGAGGAATCGACCATTTTGAAGAGACATATCGAATGTACCGTAGTCAAAAATATCGATTACAAACGGCAGATTTCGAGAGGTATTCGTATCTCGACGTTACCAGACATTATCAGATATCGATTATGATCGATCCACGAAATTTTCTCGTGCGCCCTCGGCTCTGTTGTACGATGAGAATCGAGGTAATAGAGCACGAGAATGACGATAGAAGTCAAGGAGGAGAAGAGGAGGAAGAAGAGAAGGAGGAGAGAGGGAGGATATAAAAGGCTGCGAAGGAGTCTCGTATAAAGAGAGGGAAGAATGGTGAAGGGCCCGAGAGATATATCGGCCGTAGCGCGCTACGGGGAGCCTTGTTCACGCAGCGGGATACCCCCTGGGCCCCTCCCAGACTTTACATCTATTTACAAATATTTTGGCGGACTTGAGGAGATAGAGGGATATAATGGGATGAGAAAGAGAGTGCGCGCGCGCGCGCGCCTCGGTCGGCCAAAGCCGAGAGAATGTCGGGTCTTATGAAAATCCATTTGGAGTAAAAAATGGCCCGGCTCGTAATACATCAGGCACAGGGAGAGCATTACGCCAAGAAGTGGGCAGAAATTGAAAAAAAAAATGTTATTCGAGAATTCCGGTGCGCGCTTGAATGTCCCGGAAACAACCGAGGCATAAAAGGGAAGCCGCGGCTCTGGTAGTCGCAAAAGTGGAGCTCGATGAAAAAGATGCGAGTGAAAAGAGAATATTGTCACTCGATACATCATCCTCATGATAGCTTTCGATATGAGAATTAATGATGTTAGCGACATGAAATTTTCCTTTCCATATAAGACGAGCGTATGTTTGTACTACGGGATCGAGTAAAGTCATTGATAAGTTTTTGAATAAGCGGATAAAATTGCACGTAGCCGGTAGCCGCGAAAAATGACGCGCCGCGAAGGAGATGCTGCCTGTGTATTATCTCTCCCTCATCGCGCTCGCTTCGATAACCGCTAATTACGGAGCGCATGTCGCTTACACCTCGTTTACATATTTCGTATCTTATCGCTTAAACGGTATTCGGTAAATTCGTGTTAACTCTCGCGCGACTTTACCTGGTATATAATCAACGTATAGCGAAAGCAATATTAATTTTCCTGTTCGGCGCGCGGTAACTAATTGCCCCCGCTGCATGTTACGGCTCGTTAGATCGCAAATAACGTCGACGGGATTGTCGAGAACAAAGGAGCGGGACGTCGAGACAAACGACGTCCGAACAGTCGGGGAGACGCTGGCCGAGGGTGTGGAGGTCAAGGAGCAGAGAGAGAGAGAGAGAGGAGGTGGATAGAGAGGAAGATGAAGAGAGGAGAAGAGCACGTTAAAGTGGAAGAAACGGCGGGAGCAGAGAGGAACCACGAATGCTGGGCTTCTCGAAAGGGGGTTGGGTCCGTCCGAGACGATGGAAGATGGTGCGCGCGAAGCAGGGGACTGGGCTCTGTACCCAGCATCCAGCAGACGGAGCCCCGCCCCCACCGGTTTCTTCTCTGTTCCTTTTCCACCTCCAGTCCGCTTCGGGCTTTTACCTTTCTGCGTGCGGGGCCAGGCCAACCTTTTATTCCAATCTTCTTGTTTTAACGTGCTCGTTACTCTACCCCCTCCTCTCGATCCACCACCACCCTCCCTTCCAGCATTCCCGGGTCCGAGGGGCCCCAAGAGTAGTGGGCCCCCGATGTTGCGTGTTCCATTCACCGCGCAACAAAACGAACCGCCCAAGCATCAGCTGATCTTCCAAGAAGCCACTTCCGCCTCGGCGGCCACCCCGCGACACCTCGTCGATCTCGCTGATCCCGCCGAGGATCTAAATTCTGGATGGGAATCCTCCCGCGATTTTTTTCAAGATCGTTTGATTGCCATTTCTCGCTTCCGACGGATTCTTTGCTTCCTTCCGATGCCCCGCGTTTCCATCGTACGCGATTGAATCGTCGACGAGGAGAATTATCGAAACGAGATG